GCGTATGCAGGTGCGCTTGGATTGTGGTGTGACGGGAAATGTAGATGGGGAAGATCAGCTTTGGGCAACGTGAAGCATCGTGCGCGGGTTCGTCAAAGCTCCTGGCCGCTCGTTGTGAGGAGAAGCGTCTTTTTCCTAATACTACGGCTTGTATGGTTTGAAGAACTGTGTTGTTTGCAGGGTGTCCGAGGCGTTGATGCTAACATGTCGTCGGGAGCGCGATGGTCGGGTGAACGCCGGTACAGGTCGGCGTTGGAGAAGAACGCGGCGACCGTAGCGGGACTGCGGCAGGCTCCTCGGGTGATGGGCATGAGCTGATCTACTTCGGTTGGTGGTCCTTGGATTGCTGGTGATGGGCGCACGGCTGGGTCCTGCTGCTGCTACTACAGGTGATGTCCGGGAAGGGATACTTGCTGGTGCTTGTCGTTCTTGTCGAATGACTACTAATGCTCGTGTTCTCTCTGCTGCAGGGATGGTGTTGGAGTACCAGAACCCGCCTGGACTAAAATTGGGGTCAAGATCGGGCGGGTGCGTCCAGGTGGCGAACGACACGATGCCGTCGCTGTCAGCATTACCGCGGTCTGGGACGAAGTCCAGCACGAAGACGCCCGACTTAGGAGAGCGCGACCGATGAAGAGGCCGCCCTTCCCGTGATAAAGATGAAACTCGTTGTCGTCCGAGTCACATTCCAGGTGAATTCCTTTCGCCATTAACTGGCTGTCGCTTAGTAAATTGTATCCCAGATTGTCGACAATGAGAACTTTGTTGAGCTGCAGTATGACGTTTGTCTCCATTGACTGAAGTTGAACAACTCCTTGTCTTTTTGTCTTCAGGTTTTCATTGTTGGCGACGGTGATGATGACGTCGCGGTTGAGGCGTCGTTCTTGTTGCACGAAACGCCCTGAGGAACACATGTGTTGACCGCAGCAAATGTCCAGGAACCAGGTGTTTTCGCCCGGTGGGTTCGGCGTTGGCGATTGCAGCATACGTGGGGTTGACTTGAAGACCTTGTGAGCGCGGCAGCGGCAGTTCTTCTTCGACTGGAGCGTAAGTGGGTGGTGACCCGGGTGTGCAGTTGTCGATGCGTACCATGCAATTAATGATATTCGGTGCGCCTTGTGCATGTGTAGAGGAACGGCTTGGCGGATTCTCTTGAGTGGAGGCGACTTGCGGATCTGCTGGACGATAAACTCGAGGGCGTGTGCGGTTGAACTTGGAGTGTCCGGATGTCTGACAGTTGTGGCAGAACGGCAACATGATGGTGAGACCTCTGGTGTCGTGTCGGTTCTGCTTGTCGCGTCGGTTGTGGTTGTTGTTTTTTCTTTGAGTGTAGAAGACTAACGGTTGCTGCTTGCTTTGTGGTTGTCATTCTTCAAACAGGTCCATCTCCTGTTGTTCAGGAAGCTCGACGCAGAGGTGCATCTCAGAAATTCGTCTGTGGGCGCGAAGAAGCGAGCAGGTGGTTCTCCATTGTGGTCCGAGCCCGGCGAGAACAAGTGTCACGAAGCTTTCTTCAGTGATTGTGCCTCCGCACCGAAGCAGGCGGTCGTGAAGTGTCTGGCAGCGACTCATACACTGCATCGCCTTTTCCCCGGTCTTCATTTGTATTGTTGTCAACTGCTGCATGAGTCTGCTTTGTGTCACACTGTCGTTTGCTTGATAGAGACATTTCAGATGATGCCAGGCGAGCTCCGCGGAGTTTTCCGTAGCTCCGATACGTTCTGATGCCTTGTTGCTCTTGTGGTGACAGGTTTCGCAGGAGAACTGTTTAAGCCAGCAGCGATTGATAGGTGAAGATTTCCTGCTCTTTTGCAGTGCCATTGCTTGGAAATGCCAGGGACCCGTTGAAGTATCCCAAGAGGTGCGCGGCCTCCATCAGCAGCTCGAATTCAAAGCTCCAAGTAAAGAAGTCGTGCCCGCTGAACGGTGAAGATGTCTGCAGTTTGATCACATGTGAAAACTGCGCCTGGAGACTTAATATTTCGTTTGGTGTGTGTTGTGATGCAGCTGCTATCGGTTGAGCACGGGGCAGCATGAACTCGAACGTCCCTGGTGAAGAGTGATAAGGCGCAAAGGTAGGCGCCTGGTTGTGCCGCCCGAATGGTGAGTTGTCGAGGCTCATCGATGCTAACCCCGTATTTCCTCCATTACTCTGTGTTGAATGCGCAGATGTCCCTGTCTGCTGCTGCTGCTCGAAGTGCGACATGAAGCTGAAGAACCTTTCCATAAGGTTCGGGTCCACACCTGAAGAGGGTGAAGGGGTCACCATTCCTAGTACTCTTCTTGTTGTTTCTTCAGCGGCGCCGGTCTCGGTTTTGTAGTCCTGAGATGTGTAGTCCAGAGGTGCCGAGTTGAGTGGCTTGAGCGCTGGGTGAGCCCGTAGAAGACTTTTTGCCCTTGTTGTCCATGTCTTGTAATCGATGAAGCTTTTGATATGCTGACTGTAGATAGGATTTTGTCGATGGGAGTTTGGTCTCTGGCCAGCTCTCATACCATGTTGGGCTGAGAAAAAGCCTTAGGACCTTTTCAGATACTAAGTCCCACTTGTACAAAACGCTTGAGTAGTGCAGCGGAAGTGTTGAGTAGTTGAACCCTTGCACTAGTATGTGAGAGCAAGTGATTGATTAAAAGAAACGAGCATACAGCAATATATAGAAAATAGGAAATGAAGCAGTTGTAGAATACAGTTGAAGGAACAGTTATCGAGTCGCACAGCGACTCGATTGTCTGTTCAGTTACCACCCTTGCAGTCGCAAAGGTCAATCGCAACCTCCGGTTGCGACCCTTCGAGTCCCTTCGCCCTTTCGTATTCTTTCGTCCAACCTCCTCGTGTAACCTCCGTTGACTCGCGTACCCCATACGTCTTTCCTCGAGTGTAGTGTTACACTTCAGAAACGCTTAAGTCTTCGAGGTATTTCCAACAGAATCCTTATTTCGACAGGGAACAACAGAATTTGCCGTGCATAGTTGCGTGCGTAAATGTGAGGGCGAGTGGGGGAAGCGAGCTGGTGGTCAACCCGAATGTGTCCGAACGGGGAATGAAAATTGTCGAAACCTCAAAATCCAAATTGTTCATTCTCGACTCTCGCGCCCTCTCCCCAAACCAAACCTCCGCTGCCGCCCACAGGGCTTATCTTTGGTTTTTCACCACCCTGATTTTCATGAGTGACTCCTGGCCAAACTCTGATTTTCAGAGTGCCCTGGAGCTCGAACTCTGATTTGTCAGGGTTTTTTCACACTTTTCAAATAAAAACTCTGATGCCCAGGATTCACTCTCCCGACGACTATTTCGCAACGTGGTGCTTTATCCCAGAAGACTGCCAAATCGCACCACACTTTTTTTTCTAGGCGCGTGCCATATACACAACACCTACAATTCTGTGCCCAAGACTTGTGCTGAATGAACGCTGAAAAGTGTAGCTTTATAGAGATTTGGGCCGAAATCTGCCCATTACAGTCGGCTGGAAACTGGGATGTCTCGGCCGGGTTCTGCCAAAAATATCATCCAGGCTCTGCTCCGAAATACTTCGGCAGGGCACGCTCTGTACTCGGGGAGTCCCTAGGCAAGTGTGTTGTGACTGGTTACAGAGGACTTAGCCGAAATTTTCCAGGTTACGGCGGGTATGAGGCGGGATGTGACCAGTTGCGAAGGACTTAGCCAAAATTATCCAGGGTACGTGGGGTATGGGAGGGGTGTGACTGGCAGTCGGAGGACTTAGCCGAATACCGAGAGAACAGGGAAAAATCTAGGAGCATCCCCCCGATTGAAAACTCTTCAGGGTGGTACATCGGCCAACTCTGATAAATCAGAGAAAACTTTTACTTTCAAAAATTTACCCAGGACCATCAGAGTGGTTTTCAAAAACGACTCTGATTTTCAGAGAATCAGAGTGATTTACTCTGATAAAATAAGCCCTGGCCGCCCACTGATTGGAGGCAGTAAGGACGAGGCGTGCAGCACTCGTTGATTGGCTGCTTTGCCAGCCTCGTCCTTGACTTTACTAGTTTAGCTGATGATGTGGCAAGCAGAAGGGCCACACTGTAGGGTACGCGATATTGATATGTGACACAAAACAAGGTGGTGTAACATGCACAACTATTTTGGAATTGAAAACGCATATGCACGTTCCATAGAACCATTGTCTTATATTTTTTTGGCCTTGAATTCCACCCACCCCAAAATTTTCATGAATTTTTATTAGCTCCCTCGGGTACTATATCCGGGAGAATACGGTATAACCTTCATTTTTAACTCTAAAGAATATCTGATCTTTGTACACTATTTCCCCCCCTTCTTGTCCAGTATCGAAGTTGCCGAGCCCTTCAAATTTTGAACCAATTTCTGGGGCTGCTGCCAAACCGAAGCGCCCTCGTAACTACAAATGCCTCTGCTTGGCCACTTCATTGTCAGGCCTCAAGAAACAGAGCATCTCCGACACCACCGGCAATGACGCCTACAAGATGGCAAGAGCTCCTACAGCAGAGAAGACCGTGACTCCCTCTGTGAAGCCGAAGAGGCCCTTGTCAGGGTTCATGTTCTTTTCAAAAGACAACCGCGATAAAGTGAAGAAAGAGTGTCCTACAGCAGGATTTGGCGAAATCGGTGCGTAGACTCGTCCAATTTCTCTTCTGTTTAGCACGCTTTCATCTGTTGCTCACTCCAACCACTGGTTTCAGGGAAGATACTTGGACAAAGATGGAGTTCGCTTGAAGTTTCGGAAAAGGCTACTTATCTTAAGATGGCTGAAGAAGACAAATGTCGTTACGTTCAAGAAATCAAGGCCCTAAAGCGGGAGAGCTGAATCATGGCACGAGGCGGTTTCACCTTCTCTTTCTAAAACCACGACATCACTTCGAAATGCTCTTGGAACTCCGATTTCTGGAGAATTCGCCTGCTTGGCGCAATCAAAGATGACAAGAGTGTCAAACATGTGTATTTGTCATGTTTGTATAGACTGTATAGGGTCACCTCTTAGAGGGTACAACACTTAGGTATATCTGTGTGTACTCTCACTCTATCATTATTCACTTCTCTAATTCTGATATGGTATCACGCGTAGGTTAGGATCCCCCCCCTACCGCTTCCGCTCGCCCCCCTACCTCCTAGCCGCGTCGTGCCCCTAGCCCCGTCGCGACCCCCCTAGCCCCGTCGCGACCCCCCTAGCCCCGTCGTGCCCCTTCCTGGGCCCCGTAGCGCCCCTCCTGGGCCCCGTCGCGCCCTTCCTGGGCCCTCTAGCGCCCCTCCTGGGCCCCGTCGCGCCCCTCCCAGGCCCCGTCGCGCCCCTCCTGGGCTCCGTAGCGCCCCTCCTGGGCCCCGTCGCGCCCCTCCTGGGCCCCGTAGCGCCCCTCCTGGGCCCCGTCGCGCCCTTCCTGGGCCCTATAGCGCCCCTCCCGGGCCCCGTCGCGCCCCTCCCAGGCCCCATCGCGCCCCTCCTGGGCCCCGTAGCGCCCCTCCTGGGCCCCGTCGCGCCCCTCCTAGGCCCCGTAGCGCCCCTCCTGGGCCTCGTCGCGCCCCTCCTGGGCTCCGTAGCGCCCCTCCTGGCCCATCGCGCCCCTCCTGGGCCCCTGTAGCGCCCCTCCTGGGCCCCCGTCGTGCCCCTCCTGGGCCCCGTATCGCCCCTCCTGGGCTGCGTCGAGCCCCCTCCTGGGCCCCGTAACGCCTTCAGGCCCCGTCCCACCCGCCCGGCCCCGCCGCACCAGCCCGGCCCCGTCACGCCCGCCCGGCCCCGTCGCACCCGCCCGGCCCCGTCGCCCTCTGCCCGGCCCCGTCGCAGCCGCCCGGCCCCGTCGCACCCGTCCGGCCCCGTCGCGCCCGCCCAGCCCCGGTGCGCCCCTCCTGGGCCACCGTCCTGCTCGCCCGGCCCCGTCGCACCGGCCCGGCCCCGTCGCACCGCCCGGCCCCGTCGCACCAGCCCGGCCCCGACGCACCCGCCCGGCCCCGTCGCACCAGCCCGGCCCCGTCGCGCCCGCCCGGCCCCGTCGCACCCGCCCGGCCCCTGCACTCGTCCCTGCCCCGGCCCCGGTCCTCCTCACTGGTACGGTTCTCCCCCCCCCCCCCCCCCGCCCTGCACTGCCCTGCACCGTACTGCCCCGCACTGCACCGCCCCGCACCACCCTGTACTGCCTGGCACCGCACTGCGACGCCCTACACCGCACTGCACCGCACTGTACCGCACGGCACCTCACTCCACCTTGCTGCACTGCCCTGCACCGCACTGCACTGTTCCTGATGGCGGCGGAGCTTCGCTTCGACGCTGAAGGCCAGCCTCTGGAGTTCGAGGCGTGGCTTGCCGACCTCCGTCGCCAACTCACTGGCCAGCGGCAGGATGGTGAACCGCTTTCCGCACACCTTGACGGTACGCTCCCCTGCCCAGACCCCCCTGCTATTCTGCCCGCTGACTCCACACCCACTGAGCGCGAGTCCACTGCTGCCACTGCCCGTGCGCGCTCTGTCTGGCTTTCTCGCGATGCTGTCGCCCAGCTTGCCATTAGCAACGCCCTTCCCCCGTCCGAGCGCCCTCGCTTTAGGTCTCTCACTACTGCTCAGGCATACTTAGATGCTGTCATCCAGTGCTATTCCACCCCTCCGGCTGCCTCGGTGGGTCGCCTGATCCTCCCGATGCTCTTTCCTGACCTTGCATCTTTCCCCACTGTCTCTGACCTCGCTGCCCACCTGCGCTCGATAGATGAGACCTGGCGCGCAGCCTGCACTGATGCACAGCTTAGAGCCCACCAGCCGCCCATTACCTCTACCCTCTACCTGCTTGCCACCCGCCTCCCTGACCGCCTTGCTGTCGCCCGCGACCGCTTCCTTAGCATTCACCCCGCAGACCTCACCCTCACTGACTTTGTAGACACCCTGACTGTGATAGAGACCCGTCACCGCTCCATCGCCCAGGCGAGCGGTGTCGTGCCGGTCCCTATCTTTCAGGGTTGTACCCCCGCCCAGTGTACCTTCTCCGACGGCTCTGCCGCAGTGGCTGAGACTGCTGCTGCAGCGCAGTTTCGTTCGGGGAAGGGCCGTCGCCCCAAGGTTGGGCGCGGCGGAGGCGGTGGCGGGGGTGCGGGAGGGGGTAGTGGTGGGGTCGGGTCGTCTGGTGCTGGAGCGGACGAGCGGACCCTGCCCAGTCCAGCTGAGCCGCCGCCCCTGCAGTTGCACTGCAGTTGCAGCAGCCGCCGCAGTCGCAGCCTTCGCAGCAGTCGTCGCAGGCACGGCAGACGAGTGTCCTCCCGCCCGGGTGGCCCGGCGCTGGCGGTGGCCGGGCGCGTGGTGGTGTGCCGAGTGGTGGCTCTGGCGGCGGGCGTTGTCAGTACCAGATCCAGACCGGTCCTCGGCGCGGCTTCGTTTGCGGTAAGATCTGTCACTCCACTCCCCGCTGTTTTCGTCGCCTGGACAACCTCTTTCGTCAGCGCTTCGGCCCGTCGCCAGACCTCCCGGACTGGCACAGTTTGCTTAGTCGTAAGATTCAGATTTTTTATATGGACATGGATGCCATTGTTTCTGCTCTGCATGTGATGTATGCTGATGACTCTAGTGTGCTTCCCACTTATTACTCACTGTTGCCTAGTGTAGGTGTGCCTAGCTTAGCCTCCCCTGCTGCGTCAGGCGTAGGATCCCCTGCTTTGTGTAGTCTTGGTGCTTCCGCTGTCGTTCCGTCGCCGGACGCCTCTGCTTCGCTTTCCTTCACCTTGGACTCTGGCGCTTCTCGGTGTTTCTTCCGCGACTCCACCACCCTGACGCCGCTTCCTGTTCTAGCTGCCGTTTCTCTTGCTGACCCCTCCGGCGGTCCGGTTGTCGCCCGCAGTTCCACCATCCTTCCCTGTCCGGCAGTTCCTTCGGGCACTCTCACAGGTCTGCATATCCCCTCGTTCTCCAGGAACCTAGTTGGTGTCGGCTGCCTCCAGGACCTTGGCGTCACCACTACGTTCCCTGGTCACGAGCGGTATGCTGTCTGTACCGAGGCCGCCACTAGTGCCCCCCTGTCCACGTTCCCCCGTGACCCGGTGTCCGGCCTGTTCACTCTAGACACCGTGACCCCCCCGGCTGGAGCGCTCACCCAGGTTGCTGCTGCCTGCTCCTGTCAGTCCCTCACTCACCCGACCCTCCTTTGGCACCACCGCCTAGGTCACCCTGCACTCCCGCGTCTGCGTCACATGTCCCAGCACGGTCTTGTCCTTGGTCTCCCAGGTTCCCTCCCCGCGTTTCCCTCCTCCCCAGCCCCACCTTGCACGCCTTGTGTCGAGGGTCGGCTTCGCCGTGCCCCTCACTCCTCCTCGTTTCCCCCTACCGCCGCGCCACTGCAGACCCTGCACCTGGACGTCTGGGGCCCCGCCCCCGTCCCTGGGCCGCGTCGAGAGCGCTACTTCCTTGTGCTTGTCGACGACTTCACTCGTTACACCACAGTCTTTCCCCTGGAGCGCAAGGCCGACGTGCCTGGCGCTCTCATCCCCTGGCTTGTCTCTGCGCGTGTCCACCGCGGTCTCCCTGTCTTGCGTCTTCACTCCGACCGTGGTGGCGAGTTTGCCTCCGGTGTCCTTGGTCGCTTTTGTCGTGCGGAGGGCATCACCCAGACGTTCACCCTACCGGACTCCCCGCAGCAGAATGGGGTCGCTGAGCGACGCATCGGTTTGGTCATGGAGGTGGCTCGCACCTCCATGATCCATGCCGGTGCACCCCATTTCCTGTGGCCGTTCGTTGTGCGCTACGCTTCTCACCAGCTTAACTTGTGGCCGCACCCTCAGCAGCCGCAAGTTTCGCCGACCCGTCTTTGGACTGGGTCTCCTGGTGACGCGTCTGCGTTCCACGTCTGGGGCTGCCTTGCTCACGTCCGTGCCTTCGGCACGGACAAGCTCACTGCCCGCACCCTTCCTTGCGTCTTCCTGGGTTTCCCCTTGACGCGTCCGACTGGCACTTTTACCACCCGCCGTCTCACCGCTTCTTTCACTCTCGTGACGTCACCTTTGACGAGTCCGTCTCCTACTACCGTCACTTCCCCCACCGTGGTCCCCCGGTTACCCCCCCCCTGTTCCTGGTCACTCCTTCCCCGGTAGTCCCTGCCCCTCCTCCTCCTCCTCCCCGTCCCGCCCCCTCTGGTGTGTCCCACGTCACCCCCCTTCCGTCCGTGGACCCGGTTGAGGAGCCTTCTGACTCTGGTGGCCCTGCTGCTCAGTCCTCGCCGGCCGCCCCTCCCCAGGCGTCCCCTCCCCAATCCCCTCCTCCACCGCCTCTGCCGCCGCTGCAGCCGTCGTTGTCGCTGCCGCCGCCGCCGCCGTCGCAGCACCCGTTCGCTGACTCTGGGGGTGCTCATCCCGGTAGCCCTGGGGGTGGTCCCTCTGGGGGTGCTGGTGTGGAGAGTGCCGGTGGTAGCCGAGGAGCAGCTTGCGGTCCAGGTGTCGCCGTTGTGCCGCCGCAGCAGCAGTCCCCGCTGGTGTCAGCCCTTCGCCTGCTCGGCCTTCCGTCCCCCGACCCTGCGTCGGTTCCTCCCCGACCGTCTCCTCCTCTTTCTGTCTACGGCCCTGTCTTCCCTCCGCCGGACTCGTCCCCAGCCCGTCTCCCCCCTCGTTCCCCTCCTGTGTCCCATCCTCTGTCTCCTGACCCGACTCCTCCGTCGCACGTCTGGTCTCACCGTCCCTCCCGTGCTCGTCCTGCCTCGCCTGTCTTGCGCTCCCACCCTATGTTGCTTCATTCCCACGCGTCTCGTCCTCCCCTTCTGCCGTCGCCTCCTCCGTCCTCCCTTGTTGTTGCACCCCCCCCGCTGTCTGACTACCTTCGTGCCGCTCGTCCTCTTGTTCCTCGGGTCCTTGCCTCTCTCGTTACCGACCCGTCTGTTCCGGCCTCGTGCCTTGACGCTCTTGTCGCTGCTGTCGCTGACTTCGCCTCTACCCGCCGCCTTGACTACGCCTCCGCTCTGGTCTCTGACCCTGCCTGTCCTCCGTCTGTCGGGGGTGCTCCTGCCCTTGGTAGTGACGTCCTGGAGGACCGCCAGTTTGAGCTTGCTTTCCTCTCCGAGGCTGCTCCCCATCTCTGTTCCATGCTGCTAGTCCCTGAGGGTGACCCAGACGCTTTTGACATCCCGACCCCTCGCACTTACGCTGAGGCGACTTCGGGACCCTGGGCCTCGCAGTGGATAGCTGCCATGGAGCAGGAGATGGCATCTTGGAGATCCACCGGCACCTTCGTTGACGCAGTTCCCCCACCTGGGGTGAACGTAGTCGATGGCCGCTGGCTCTTCAAGGTGAAGCGCCCCCCTGGAGAGCCGCCTGTCTTCAAGGCGCGCTATGTGGCTAGAGGCTTCAGTCAGCGCGAGGGGGTGGACTTCTTCTAGACCTTCGCTCCGACCCCGAAGATGACTACTCTTCGGGTTCTGTTACACCTAGCTGCTCAGCGTGACTACGAACTTCACTCCCTCGACTTCTCCACTGCCTTCCTTCAGGGCAGCCTACACGAGCAGGTCTACCTGCGGCGCCCTCAGGGCTTCACTGGCACCTTCCCTCCTGGGACCCAGTGGCTCCTGCGGCGCCCCGTCTACGGCCTGCACCAGGCTCCTCGTGAGTGGCACGACACTCTCCGTGCTACGCTTGCTGACCTGCAGTTCTTTCCGTCTTCTGCAGACCCTTCACTCTTCGTTCGTGCTGGCCAGACTCCGTTCTACACCCTTGTTTACGTCGACGACCTGGTCTTTGCCACAGCTGACAGGGATGCACTGGCCTCCGTGAAGGCCGAGCTGCTGAAGAGACACACGTGCATTGAACTTGGACAACTGCGCCGTTACCTTGGCTTGCAGATCTCCAGGGACAGAGCTGCGCGCACCATCACCCTGACTCAGTCACACTTGGTGCGCCAGGTCCTTCAGAGGTTCAGCCTTCAGTTCTCCTCTGCACAGCCCACCCCTCTACCTGTAGACCACAGACTCTCCGCTCCTGTGTCTGAGGAGTCGGTAGAGCCCAGCGGCCCCTACGCAGAGCTGGTGGGTTGCCTCATGTACCTGATGACTTGCACTCGCCCAGATCTCGCATACCCTCTCAGCATCCTGGCTCGCTTTGTGGCCACTGGCAGGCACCGACCGCAGCACTGGTCTGCCGCTAAGAGGGTTCTGCGTTATCTTGCTAGTACATCGGGCATGGGGTTAGTGCTAGGAGGACGCAGGCCAGTGGTCCTTACTGGACACACAGACGCTTCGTGGGCAGACGACGCTGAGACACTCAGGTCTACCCAGGGCTACTGCTTCAGCCTTGGCTCAGGTGCCGTCTCGTGGAGAGCTACCCGCTCCTCGTCTGTTGCGCAGTCCAGCTGTGAGGCTGAGATCTACGCTGGTGCCATGGCGGCACAGGAGCTCCGCTGGCTGACCTTCTTGCTCACCGACTTAGGTGAGCGGCCTAGCTCTGCCCCGGTCCTGTTCGCTGACAACAGGGCCATGATCCTCTTGTGTCAGGAGCCTCGACTCGAGGGCAGAGCAAAGCACATTCAGCTGCGGTACTTCCTCCTGCGTGAGCTACAGCAGCGACGTCAGGCTCGCGTAGTACACTTGGCCTCAGGTGCCAACACGGCTGATATCTTTACGAAGGCGCTTGCGCCTAAAGATCATCAGCGGCACTGTGTACAGCTTGGTCTAGTTCCTGTAGCCTCTCACTTGCTAGGACCTTGACTTTGTACTGTCCTTTATACGTATACTCAGACTGGACTTGTGTCCTCTCCCAGTGGCCGGACTAGTAGTGCCGCCCTGCTCTTGTTCTTGCCTTGTCTGTACTCCTTCTGACTGGTCTCTCAGACCCTTGTCTCAGAGGTTGGACTAGTAGTGCCGCCCTGAGCTGCTTGTTTAGGACATTCCCCGATGCAGTCTAGGGGGTGTGTCAAACATGTGTATTTGTCATGTTTGTATAGACTGTATAGGGTCGCCTCTTAGAGAGTACAACACTTAGGTATATCTGTGTGTACTCTCACTCTATCATTATTCACTTCTCTAATTCTGATAAAGAGTTCAAGGTCACCTTCAAGCACACTTATTCAAGGTCTTCAGTCGTAGATTATGCAAGTCTTTGCCAATGCTCTACATCAGCTTTACAATCGTCTATGGTTTCTCATAAATCACATTTCATGATTCCTCTGAAACCCAGCAGCAAAATCTAGAAGCCACATCCGAGGTTGACGAAGCTCATTCTTGCATTCCACTACAACCCAGGTTGAAAGCCAAAATGGACGAGACAGACAGACTTGGTTGAAACTAAATTGCGCTGGCAATGGCAACATTGCTCACAGGAAACTATGCATATGGAGCATTAGCAGGATGCAAGCTGAACAAGCAGGGTATTGCTCTACTGAAGGGTCTCTATTAGCATTTTTAGGGTGTGATTAGGAACGAGCCTCGTGTCATCTAAAGGCGCTCCTGTTACTGGTGAGAGACGGGAACTGGTCAACCAATGCTCTAAGCTGCTCCGATCGTAAGTGAATCCGTCTGCTGCGACCACAGGATCAGACATGGTGGTCTGATGGAGGGGCGGATGGGGAAAGCAAGAATCAGCGAGGGGACAGTGGGGACGGAGTGAGACACGCAAGCCAAGACCCACTAGCCAGCACTTTTGAGAGTTCCCCACATTGACCACTCCAAATGAAGCCGCCATTCATTGAGTGAGTATGGCAAATCAATCTTACCTTGGAGATTGGACACAAAAATTGCAGGCGTGCAATCCGTCGCCTCCTTTGCATCTCCCCTGCCGCTTCCCTTGCTGCCCGAATGACAGCAGGCAATACCTCCTCAACAAGGTCCGGACGCAAAGATCTCCGCCGGTCAGCACATTCAAGAGCTAGAACCAAGACCTCCTCCACAAGTGACCTAGGCCACACTCCACCCGAATCATCCAGATGGCGCGACAGTGCTGCTACTGCCAGAAGAATATCTCCATCTGTGCCAGCCCAGCACTCGGCAAGCAGCTTGTGGACCCTCCGGACATCAGGTATCCCTGTGAGCAGCTGCACCATCACCAGACCAAAGGCGTAGACGTCTGCAGAAACAGAAATCTCACAGGTTTCAAGCTCCTCAGGATCTATGTATCCTGTAGTGCCTTGCACCCGTGTTGTCGTTGCACCATCGCCTTCCAACAAACGTGCCAACCCAACGTCACCCACACGAGCACCAAGATTTGCATCCAGTAGAATATTGTCGGGCTTCAAATCACGGTGAACAATGGGGGGGTCATGCAGGTGCAGGTATGCCAGTGCAGATGCCACTTCTGCTGCAATGCGCAGTCTATCAGACCAGGGAATCGGACACGTAGGCTGGCCGGTGGAACTGGATGTTGCGGATGAATTCGAAGCAGAAAATGGAAGGAGGGGGGTTGTAGGTGTTCGCTCATTGTTCTGCTGCTGGTTTCTGTCTTTCTCCATGCTCCGACGTTGCCTCCGCCTCTGCTGCTGCTTCTTCCTCAGTTGTCGCTGCCTCTCATCCTCAGAAGCGACCCTCTCCGTCACACTCCCTTCCTCATCCTCATCACTCTCGCTCCCTTGAGAGTCACTACTGTCACCACCCCCAAGCCCATGGTCCCTGCCCATATCCCCTTCACCCATGCCTCCTCCCTCTCCATGTAACCGATGCCAGCTTGCTGCTTGCTTCTCCCACTTGTCAGCCTCTTCCCCTCCTCTTAGCCCCTCGCCTCCTCCTAACCCCTTCCCAGCACCACCATCCGCACTTGCATCGCCACCCCACAGGCCAAGTCTTTGAGCAGCAGCTTTGGCACTCTGAATGGCAGCTTTTGCAGCGGCCGCCGCACGCTTCCTGCGAATGCGGGCCCCACGGTTCAGCAGACTCTGCAGGGACCCTCCCGGGAGGAGCTCATACACCAGGCACTGCTCCTCGGGGCAGAAGCCCATGAGAAGGAGAATGTGGGGGTGCCGCATGCGCGTCAGCACTGCGACCTCTGTTTGAAACTCCTGAGGGCCCTGCCAGCTGGCACCTGACAAGCGCTTAATGGCCACCTGACAGCCAAGCAGCGTGCCCCGAAAGACTTGACCAAATGCGCCCTGACCCAAAAGATTAGCAGGGGAATAGCCATCGGTAGCAGTCAGCAGTTGCAGAGAAGAGAAGGTGCGGCAATCACCCTCCCCTGCCATTCCACTGCCACTGCTGCTGTGGTTAGTGTTGTTGATGCTATAGATTAGGGTGTTGGGGTTGCTAGCAGACTTGGGGAAGCTTGCGCATGTGAGGTTCACTTGAGTGCTTCCAACGTCCTGCCAACTGATGCTCTCTGCTGCCGCCTGCACGTTTGCACATGCGCTGCTTCTGGCAAAACGATCAGAGCTTCCATCAACTGCATGAGCAATGGTCGAGCCAGCCAAAGCAGCAGCAGCAGCAGCAGCAGCAGCGGGCAGAGCCCGAGCACCAGCTGGTGTGGAAGGCCTGGTGAGGCTGAGTTCGGGTGCGGCAGAGCAAGGCATGGGTGAGTGCAGGTGAGATGAGGCAGAGGGGGCAGGAGGGGAGGTGGAGCAGGACGACGGGGAGGAGGTGGAGAGGGTGGTGGCAGCTGTGACGGCAGCGGCCACTGACGTGCAGGGCAGCGATCCCTGCGACAGCAGGCGGTGCGAGGGGGATGCAGCAGGCGAATCACCCCTGCCTGGGCGCAGCAGCCCAGGGGAATGCACAGGGAGAACCAGTGTGGGGGCCACTGGACTGTTGCCATCTGCTGCACTGCAGCCCTTCAAGTCACTCCCCTGCTGCTCCCTACCACACTCTCGTGCTCGCTGCTGTCCTGCGTGCTGCAACCTCTGCTGCCACTGCCCTGACTCCTCCTCTGCCCTCTCCCCCCGACCACGGCCATGTGTGCCTGCGCCAACAGAATGCTGCTGCCCCGCTGTGCGCTGCTGCATCCACCCCACGGAAGGCGTGGGAGGCTCCAACAACTCCGCCACATCCCCACCCTCATCACTCCCACTCCCACTCCCACCCTCCCCGCTCGCCCTTATTCCCTTCCTCTCTCTCACCACACCCAGCGACACCACAGCAGAGGAGCCCTCCGCACCCTCCTCACTCTCACGTTCTAAAGCGGAAGCAACGGAACCAGAGACCCCCCTTGCTCCTTCCCTCCCGTGCACCCTCTCCCCTGTCTGTGCTCCCAGAGCATGCACACTGGTCCCCTCCCCCTCCCTTCCATGTGTGTGCGCATGGTCCTTGCTGGTGCGCCTGCTGCGGGTGAGGTCAGCGGCGGGCACAACGGCAGCGGCCTCGGAGTCGGTGCGCGAGGGCGAGAAGAGCGAGCGCGGCGTGGGGATGCGCAGCAGGCTGCGCGAGAAGGACAGCGAGCGCGTGTGCGCGTGGTGGGTGGAGGGCGTGCGCGGGCGCGAGGGGGAGGCGGCAGGGGATGCAGCGGTGGAGGAGCAGGCGGAGGCAGAGGGGGAGGTGCGGGGGGAGCTCCTGGGGTGAAGCAGCTGCGACAGGGACGGGGCGAGGCTCACTAGCAGCGATGGCGATAATGATGTCCGGGGGGCTGGCATGACTCCCGATGCCCTTTCTGCCTCATTGCACAATGGCTCAGCTGTGTCCCTCTCCTCTTCGCCACACACCCATTCCCTCCCATCCCCACTCCCATTCACCACCCCTGCATCCGACAGCCCACAAGGCACATCGGACAGCCCACTGGACATGCTCAGCCGCGACCGCTGCAGTGTGCTGCTTGCGCCGCGCCCTGCACCGCTGGTGCCGCCACTGCCGCCACTGCCGCCGCCCCTCTCCATGCCACTCCTGCTGCCACTGCCGTCAGCAGCCGGGCAAGCGGAGCCGGGCAAAGCGGCAAGGGGAGCCTTCGCATGTGCTCGCCCAGGAGATGATAGGGGTGACACTGCGGCTCCTGACCCAGCAGTACTGGCGGCGTCAGCGGATGCATCAGCAGTGGAAGACGCAGACGTGTGTGACGACGCGATGGTGTCCGCACACTGCCAGATGTCGTACTCACCACCTGCCACCCCATCGCCATCCGCCTTCTCGCCATCCCTGGGTGCGCCGGCCTTGACCCCCTCCCACGCATCCGCGGCCATGTCGAGGTGCTCATACGCCGCCAGCTCCTCCTTCAGCGACCGCACCTCTACCGACCGCTGCCTCTCCACACTGCGCCGCTCAAACGCTGACGGCCCCATCAACGCCCCCACACCACCATTACTCTCAGCCCCCCCCAGCCACATGGCGCTGCCGCCCCCTTTCCATTCTGGTGTGTGTGGGAGCGCGCGCACCGGGCTGGCCTTGGCGGAGGTGGGAGTGGCGTGCGCGGCCTGCCAGTCAGCGGCAGCGGCGCGCAGCAGGCTGCTGTCAAGGCTCTCCACGCGGTGCACCGACGACGGCGTGAGCGGACGGGACGAGGGGCGTGACAGGGGGTGGGGGAACGGTAGTGGAGCGAGGGACGCATGGCGTTGCGTGGCGGAGGGAAGCGCGGCAGCATGCGAAGCTGCAGCTTGCTGCTGGTGCTGCTGCTGCATGCAGGTAACAAGAGAGATGGGAAAAGAAATGACAAAAAGTGAAAAGGGGCAAAATGAACAGGCAGGGCCATAAGAAGACGGGGAGTGAGAGTGGCACTAATGGCAGCAAGTCCCAGTCCAGGCATGCACGTCCTCATCACCCACTAAGGGGGAGTGCTGGATCTTGCTGCCCCATCTTGCTGCACCTTCTTGCTGCACCTTCGTGCTGTGCCAACAAAGGTGAGACATAGAGTGCAGGTGGCATACGGTGCAGGTGACATACAGTGCAGGTGACATATGGTGCAGGTAACATATGGTGCAGGCGACATATGGTCCACGTGGCGCATGGTCCAGATGGCATGCACTCAGTCCCTTCCCCTCACCTGCGCGAGCTCGGCCCCGTGCATGTCGCCAATGCGCATGGCGCCCTGCACGTCCGGAATGGCGAGCAGCGACGCGATGAGCGCGTCTATGCTGTCACTCTGCGCCCCCCCCTCACCCGGCCCTGCTGCCGCCACTGCTGCCGCCGCCGCACTCCCACTCGATGCTGCTCCCCCTGCTGCCTCTGTGCCCGGGGTGCAAGGGGGCTCGCAGTTGACAGGGTGGGAGGAGCGCGGGGAGGAGGCAAGCATGGGGCGTGGGGGGCTCTTGGAGGTAGAGTCCGGCGACGACTCGTCTCCAGGCAAGGGCATGTTGAAATCGTCAGTATACCGCGACCATTCCTCCGTCTCCCCTGCGGTCTCTTGCTTCACCTCCACCCGTGACATGCCCTGCTCTGCTCTGCTCCCCCCCACCCGCCCTTGCACCGCGCCTTGGGATACCTCGTCTGCCTGCTGGGCATCGCCCCCCGCACCTGGCCGCTTCTGCTCCATGGCACTCCCCTCACCATGCACCATCTGCCTCTGCCCTTCTAGGCCCTGCGCCCCTTTGCTATCCTCCATTTCTCTAATGCAGGCCCCTTCCCTCCCTGGCGCACTCCTGGAATCTCCTGTGTTCCCTGCCCCCAATCCCTCCTCCACTCTCTCCCGCTCCACAGGCCCGTGTCTCCTGTCACCACCCTCCGTGCGACCCTCAATGCTGCCTGACCCGTCCGCCTCCCTACTACTCACATGCTCCTCCTCAACCCCCTGCTCCCCCCCCTCCAGGGCACCGTGGTTGCCCACACTGCCCGTGCTGTCGCTGCGCCACATGCGCGCAAAGATGTTGCCGCTGCTGTTGGCGCGCTTCAAGGCGGCCGGTTGGCGCAGGGGAGAGGGCACGCAGGAAGCGGGCATGGGGATGTCTCCTGAGTCGCCATCCGTCCAGGCCATGAGGACCGGCTGCTCTGACCCATACTCACATGCCTCTGGGAATTCCACCATGCTCCCACTCCCGCCCCTGCTGCCACTGCCACTGCCTCTCCGCCCCCTTTCCCCTCCTGCCCCTGCTGCTGCCTTAGACACAGACATCTTGTGCTTTCCACTCTCCCCTGCCCACGGACTACCTGCGTTCTCCTGCTTGGCCTTGCTGCTGGCCAGGCTATCCACACTAGCACTGCGAGCAGCAGCAGGGTCAGCAGCATGAGAGAGCGTGGGATTGGCAGTACCAGGAGGCGCGGATGATTCTGGTGGTGGCGGATGGTCGCCGCGGGATGACTGCCGCCGAAGAGGCAGCAGCGCAGAGAGCCAGGAGGTGGGGGAGCCGCCGGGGGGTGCATAGGAGGGAGGGGGGGAGGCACGCGTGGAGAGAGAGGAGGACTTGGGCACGGAGGAGGAGGAGGAGGCACGGGAGAAGACAGACGAGGCGGTGGAACGGGAGGGGGGTAGCGAGGAATGGGAGGTGGAGGAGGAGGAGGAGAAGGCACTGGCCTCTACGGTTTTGGAGCGTGGTAGCCTCATTCCTCGCTTCCTCTCCTTGCTCACACTGCGATGCGAGGCCAACACAGCACCCGTGGAGGGGCCCTCGGCAGTAGCAGCAGTGGGGGCATGAGCAGCAGCATCAGCAGACGCAGATACCACGGCAGGCGCATCACTGTCCGCAGCGGGGCAGTCAGTGACAGGAGGGGCAGCAGGACCACGAGCATCAAGGGAGAGGCGGCCGAGAGAGAGCCTGCCGCTGGTGCTGGTGCTGGTGCTGGTGAGGGTGCTGGTGAGGGTGGCAGCGGTGAACACAGAGCTGTCGGCTGTGGACGTGCGTGGCAGCGACAGCAGCCCACTCAGACTGCCACTGCTGCCGCGCGCACTCCTGCTGCTGCTCCGCCCGCTAGCGCTGCCACTGCCACTGCCCGCCCTGCTGCTGCGCCCTTTGCCTGCTGTCCCCGATGCAGAGGTCCGGGGGGAGGAGAGGGCAGGGGACGGGCGAGCAGCAGTGCTGCTGGTGGCAGCAGCAACGGCAGCAGCAGGAGGGGGCGCAGTGGCTGCAGCAGAAGGCGCAGTCAGCCCCTTTGGGCTGGTCGTGGCTGCATGGCTGGCATGGCCGTTGCTGCTGCTGCTGATGGCCGGAGCCCGCCCTGCAGTGTGCCTGATGGCGCGCTCAGTGCCTTTCCAGGTGCCGTTGCTGCTGCTGCTGGCGGAGGGGGAGCCACAGGCAGGCACAGCGGTGGTGGCAGGAGCAGCGGTGGGAGAGGTGCTCGTGGGAGCAGAGGCAGCATTGGTGGGGGAACGGCACGGCGAGGACGAGGCGAGGTGCAGGAGGTGATGAGGAGGTGGGGGGTTGGCAGTGTGCCTGGCATAATTAGAGGCGGGAGCGGGGGACGTGCCCATCTGCATGGGAACGGGGATGTTGGCGGGTTGGACGGGAAGGACTTGAGAATCACGGGGGAACAAGGAACAATGCCCAACATGACACGCAAGGGTGAATCTGTGAGTATGTCAGCGCGGAGAGCATTAATCTACATTTGTGTGTCTGTGAGAGAGAGAGCCTTGGGAGAGATAGCTAGGGTTTAGGGTCCGCGTATCGGCTGTTGTGGAGGGGCCACTCGAGACAGCGATGACTTCAGGGAGACCCACCTCTAGTCTGAAGGGAGCCGGCACGCCATTCTCTGCTGCGCTCTGCACTGTCTGCCGCACCTGCGACCACGCCCTATCCTGCTCCCACCGCCGCTGCATCACTCTTTCCTTCTCCGCTCGCCCCTCCCCTTCCTTCGCCCCACTGCCCGTATCCTCCTGTTCCCCACTGCTCCCCCGAGCGTCCGCGTCCTCCTCCCCGTGGTGCGAGGCGTGCCCCTGCTCCTGCCACGCCACCCTCTCCAGCTGCTTGTTCCTCTGTCTCTGCCGCAGCTGCTGCCGCCGCCTCAGCCAGCTAACGCCACTGCTGCTGCCAGTGTCAGCAGCAGCAGTAATGTTGCTGCCTTCCTCTGACCCCTCAACACTCTCCCCCTCCCTGCGCGCACATGCATCCTGCTCTTCCCCTTGTGCCTCACTCTCGTCCGCCCCTGCTCGCTGCGTCTCCCTCACCTGCCACCTGGGGGAGTCATGCCGAGTGGGCGACATCACCACTGCTGTACTCACCACCCTAACGCCATCTCCCGCAACCCCCTGCGTTCCCCCGCCCACATGCCTCCATTTCCTTCCCTCCGCCGCTCTCAGCTCCCTCCGTTCCCCCCTCTCCTTCTCTCCTTTCGCCTTGCGCAGTTCCCTTCTCCCCCCAGCACGCGCCTCTCCCTGCTGCGCCCATGCCTCATCCGTGTCCTCCTCCTCCTCCGCACATCCATCACCCCGCCACCCATCACGCCCTCCATCCACGTACTCACTCCCCACATCCCGCACCTCATCTCCCCCCCCGGCACTGCCATAATCCCCATCCTCTTGCATTCTCCCCCTATTCCCCACCTCCCCCTCTCCAACCGCCCTGTCCTCTCTGTGCCCCTCATCCCACCCGCCCTCCTGCCCTCCCCCTCGTCCCTGCGGCCGAAACCTGGAAGCGGCCAGCCCGCTGGCAGCAATGGCCCTCCTCCTGTGCCTCCTCGCGTGCCCCTCATTGCCGTCGCTGTTCACCTCTCTCGTCTCCCCCCCACTGCCCTCGCCCTCACTCGCCCCACTGCCCGAGTCCCTGCCCTCCGAATGGCTCTTCCTGAAAGCCGGGGTCGCCGCCCCCAACCCTTCTCCACTGCCTCTCTCCACCCCTGCATGCTTGCACCTCACCCTGTCCGCATGACCCCTGCCCGCGGCACGACGTGGCGACGCGTCACCAGCAACAGGAGAGGTGCCTGCATCAGCAGCAGCATGGGTGGCGGCATGGGGGGCATGCGGGAGGGGCTGCATGGCAGGACGTGACGCGGTGGAGAAGAGGGAGCGAGCAGTGGCGCTGCTGACAGGAGTGGCCACAACAGCAGCACCATCGCCATCGCTGTCGGCGTCGCCGTCGCTGTGCGGGTCAGCGATGGAGAGCGGCGCGGGGCACTCTGCATTGGACTGCTGCAGGCGGCGCAGGAAGCCGTCCTTCCACGCCCTGTTCAGGAACGCCGCCATGGGGGAACCCGATGGCGCACTGGGGGCCGCCGCAGGGGCGGGCGAGGCGGTGGAGGGCGGTGCGGCGGAGAAGTGCACACGGGGGTCCAGGTGGAAGTCGTCATCCTTGCCCACTCCACTGCCGTTGCCCTCCACCACCTCCCCATTCTGCCCCTCCCAGGTGTGCTTCAGTGCAGGTATGCCATCCCCCGCACCCCCCTCTTTGCTCCATCCGCCTCCGCCCTTCCCCCGTCGGCCCACCTTGGTCCCCTCGCCCACCCCCAGCGACACCACTCGTCGCAGGGGTGACCGGTTCCTGCCACCTGCCTGCAGCAGCCCGCCCTTCTTCTGCGCGCCCGCCGTGGCCTTGCCCGGCGGTGCCACTGGGTGTGCTGCACTCGTGCTCCTGCTGCCCGGCTCCCGTGCAGCACTGCTCGCCTCGCCACTGCCACTGCCGTTGCTGCTCTGGCCCACACCCGGGATGCCAGGGACCCCACCACCGCCGGAGCTGCTGCTGCCGCCACTGCCCACGCCGCTGCTGCTGCGCGCCCTGCTCTGTGACAGCAACCGCGCTGCCGCTGCTGCAGCCACCACTGCTGCCATGGCTGCTCCCGGTGCCGTAGGGGACCCCAGCCCCCGGCCATCGTCTGCTGCTGCTGCCACTGCAGTTGCTCCTGCCACCCTGCCCTCCACCCTGGCGTCGAGACCTTCTATCCCCAACACGCCTACGTCCCCTGCCGTCACGAATGGTGGTGGCGCTATTGCCGTGGCATGAGGGTATGCAGGGAGGGGTTGCAGCAGGGAGCACTTGCCAGGAATGCGCTTGACCTTGTGCGCGGCGAGCAGGAGCGTGATGGTGGTGGACGGCGGCAGCACGGCCTCGCAGTAGTCCACCAGGTACGATGACGGCACACTGCGCGACAACCCCCGCCTGCACGCACGCACACGCAGGGGGGAACTGGGACAGGGTAAATACAAGGGAGGTGGTAGAGAGTGCGAGGACGGGGATAGGGAGGAAGGAAGTCGTGGTGTTGCGTCTGAAGTGGAATAGAATGGACGCGGTTGGAGGGTGCGATATAGACAGAGGGTTCGAATAGAGGACAGCACGGGGGCAGTGTGTGGTGGAAAGAGTGGGTGGAGTCCACAGGGGGGGAGGCACATGGTATGCTATGCATGCAGGCGTTACTTCTTGAGGGAGAGGTAGACGCGAGACGCGGACGCACGGCGAGCCGCGGTGCAGAGGCCCCTCTCGCGCCGGCTGTCGCACTCCACATGGCCCGACGCCGCCACCTGCACACGGCATCCAGGGGTGGTCAATGGCAGGCCACGTGTGCCGCGCACCGCATGAAGCATCCTCAAGACAAGGGCGCGTTCAGGAGGAGAGTTGAGGCGTGAGAAGGCGTGGCAGCTGACCTCCTTGTGCGTGGCGAAGAGCACGAGGGGCTTGAGCACGTGGTGCTGCACGCGCTGCACGCCATCCCGCATGGCCGCCGCATCCGCCTCGTTCACATCCACCTCCTCGCCACCTGCCATGCCGCGCACACCGGGGGTCACCACACATATGGCTAAACCACAAACGCCCACAGGAAATGCCCAAGGGAAATGTACCTTTGTGGCCCCATTTTACTTTCACCCCTCCCCTCCCCTCCCCTCCCCTCCCGTTCCGTCCCTCCCCTTCCCTCCCCGCCCCACCCCTCCCATCCCATGTGGCGCAGTGCCTTTCCACCCCCCGCCCCCTGCCCCCTGGCGCACCATGGGAGAGCACGTGCGTCATGACGTGCACGAGCAGCAGCGCCACTGGGTGCGCGTGCATGCGCGCGTCAGCTATGGCCATCAGCAGCGCGTCCTTGCACCCCTCCCTCTCCCTCTCGCCCTCCCTCCCCTTCTCCCTCGTCCTCTCGCTCTCCCTCTCTGCCTCGCGCGCAGATGCCACCTCCACCACCCAAACCTCCCCACCCATGCGGCCACCACGGCTGCGAGAAGGCTGGGGGGAACGGGGGCGAGCATGATCGTGGGTCAGGGGGAGAGTACGGAGGAGATTAGGGCAGTGAGGGAGATAGGAGAGAAGAACGCGGGGGAGGGAAGGGGGGAGACAGGGATATGCGCAAGCAAGGGCGGCGGATGGCATGTGCGTGCACGCGACGCCATGTTGCAGCGCGGCCGCACCGGCCTCGCCCGGAGATGCAGTTCGATCTAGAGAGGAGCGCCCAAGGGCGTCGAGCGGTGAATAGTAGAGGGATGGGGGGAGGCGACATGGAGAGAGGACGGCGGGCAATGCAGACGACGCGGCACCGGGTTGCAGCATGCAGAGAGCTGTGCGGGGGGAAGGGGGGAAGGGAGTGAGAGAGGTTCGCGTGCCGGGAATGGTAGGGCGGAAAGAACGGGGCGAGACGGGAGGGGAAGAAAGAGAGTGAGGTGGAAGAAGGCGTTGCCGCTTCGCAGCGGCCATGAGCCGTGCGGGACGTGGGGCGCGAGCGCGGGCATGGATGGCAGGGGGGGTTGGGCCACGAGGCGATGGCAATGCACAGGCCGTGGATGGCGGAGGCATGCGGTATGAGGAACGGCACGTGAGTGAAGAACAACGGACCATCGAAGCACGATGATCAACACGCCCTTTCCGCACCTAGCACCCTACATTAGGCGCGCTGCTCGTCCGGGAGCGGTCTAACGCGCCGTACCGTGGTGTGCGGCTGGGCGGCCGCTACTGACGCATGGAGCGCACGATCCTCGAACGCATCGACGCGGAGAGGCTCGAAACGGGTACACTACACTAGGCCGGGAGCACGCATAGCACTTGCGCGTTGCAAGACAAGGTTGCCGTTGGAGCGGGCAGCACGAAGCCTCTGGGCGTCGCCATTGCGGCGTCGCAGTAGTTGAACAAACGAATCGCGCTCCGCTGCTACTAGTATGTACAGGGGCGTCGCACTTGTAAGACCTATACAAGTACTTACACAAGGAACATGGTCAGCAGCACCTTGAAATGAGTGGTGTGGTGTGAGGGTGTGCGAAGGAAGCTGAGCAACACGACACGACGCAGAACACACCCTGTTCGGCGGCATTTTTTGGAGCCCGCTGGAGGGGATCCTTCAACAGGTTCGGAGAGACTTAAAACCCACACTTTCAAATTAGTCACACCGAACCTGAGGCAAAAAAACTGGCTACCGAACAGGCCAGTCGTGAAACGATGATTTATTGGCCAAGGAATCCTCCAAGCACATTCCGTCACTGGCGATTCGGGTGCACGCAATAAACCAGCAATTATTTGCTGGTTTATAGTAACAAGGGGCAACCGACAAGATGGTGAAAAAACACTCAGATCGGGAATGACGTCGATTCGAACCAGGGCTCACGCTAAGCTTTTTTGGAGCTCTGTTTCTCCCGGATTCCCCATCCCCCTGCACCCTGATTTGTCCGGATTTCAGGATAGTTGATTTGTGTTTCATCCGGATTCGGGTACAAAGTTACTTTTAGCCGAGTTACAGCAAGCATTGACTCGGACATGTCACGATGTTCAAGGTCGAAACAGGGTGACATTTGCGACGTGCCAAAAAAAAAATACTTTTGGATTTGCTATGTTAAGAGTGTTAATTTCTTTCGCAAGTTTTCTGACAAACCCGCTAATGTAGGGTAGAATCTGTGTTAGCAACCTTCACAACTTTCTGGGTTGTGAGAATGGGAAAGAGGGGAATATGGCTAAACGTTTTTAGCCAAGTCTTCCTAGCTGCGTAGGCGTGCGGGGCTGTAGGAGGAATTTGCCAGTCTGTGAGGGACGCCAAATATTCTAGGTTTAGGGTGGCCCGGGTGGGAGGAGTCTATCTGTATAAAACTCTCTAAGTGTAAGGGAGACTTAGCCAAATTCTCTATGTTATAGGTTAAAGGTAGGAATGTTCCTGCAATGAGGACTAGCCGAAATTTATAAGTTTCGTGGGTGTGGGTAGGAGGCCTATCTCTATTTGGGAGGGACTTAGACGAATTCCTTTATGGTCCATAAAGGAATGTTCCTGGCAGTGACAAACTTAGCCGAAAATTCTGGGTTTCGGGTGGTGCGGGTGAGAGGAGTACGGTATGTCTGTGTGTGGGGGACTTTGTCATTTTTGCTTGGTTGCGGGATTAAGGAAGGAATACTGCTGGAAGTTGGGGACCTTGACGAATTTTCTGAGTTGTGCGGGTGTGGGAGGAGTTATAACTGTGTGTGAGGGACTTAGCCGAATTTCCTGGGTTCGGGGGCTCCGTGCGATTGTTTCTGAAAGTTGGAGACTTCGCCGGTAAAATGTCTCTGCCATCCTGGGTGCGAGGAGGGGGGAAGGGGAGGTGGGGGCGGGGGGTGTATTTATTGGCAGTTGCAGCCGGATTGCCCCCCCAGCGAATTCTGATCTGCCCGGAGCCCCCCGTAACGCCACTTCTATAAATTTCGGAAACCCCGATAACTCGACCCGTTCAAATTCCGGAACGAGCCCTGCGCCAACTATTAATGTTTTTTTATTCTGGGTAATTACCCTTGAAAAATAGGCCCTGATTCGAACGCCCTGAACACAGCCGCCTTGGGGTTGGCTCGAAAAATGCCTGTCCCGATTTCAAGAACCAATAACTTCTTGAAGAGGCGAAACCTAGCACACCAGCTCATCGCGCAATCCTAGCAACTAGAGCTGTGCCACGCACAGAGCACCATCCGACCTACGGAATCGGTAATAATGTTTCGAGCAAATTGCTGGAATCTGCTTATGTACGTCAAGTGCAATTAGGGAGCCGCGTCTGTGCCCAGTCAGAATAGCGGAAAATTGACCGTTGTTTAGTGTATCATACGGTGCTGGTTATGGTAGTTAGTCGTGGCATGCCTCGTCGGGTGGCGTTTTGTCAGAAACCGGGGGGAAGCAAGAAAGCGCTAGTAATCGTAGGTTACACTCACGTTTAGCTTCGGAAAGGGAGGGACGCGAAGGGTGGAGAAACAACAAAATAGCTAGGGGAAAGAGAGGAAAGGAACAACCTTGCATGAGCGGAAGAGCGATTGCGGCGGGCGGCGGTGGCAAACGATTGCCTGGGACCAAGTATTTGCCTTCTGTTCTTTTTGGTAACTAGGATCCCCTTTTGACGCTATGAAAGCCCCAAGTTCTTCTTTTATTTCTAGGGCAGGCACCCACTACTGTTTGTGTAACCCCCAGCGTTGGCGGGCTGACCGAAATTTTCTCGCAAAAGTTTCCCCAATCCACGTGTAAACTCACTAGAATCCCTAGGAAGCTCACCAAACTTCCCGGGAAATGATCAGAAAGGGTCCTCGCTCCGCCAGAGGTGTGAGAAAAAAAGGTCCGTCTACCTCCGAACCTATAATACACTGAGTTTGCTATTTAGTCTTTTTTTAACATTTCTTTTCAAAGGGCGAAAAAAAACCCTTAGGGGACCGAATTCGTTCGGGATGGCATCAACCCTGAACACACGGCCCTTTTGCGATTTTAGGGTTGATGCCACCGCGAGTTGCATGCAAGGGCCCTAAGGGTTTTATTTTTTGTAAGTGCCCTAAAAAACTGTTCTTGGGTTTGTTTCTGCGTTATAGGAATACAATATGACGCGCCCCCACAGAATGCGATGTGTCGCGACCCTAAAATATGTGCGTTTGTATGACGAATTTCGTGTATTAGAGGTTCGGAGACAAGTCTCGGGGCAGAAAGCTGCCGGACCTTTTTTGCTCAGGACTCTGGCGGAGCGAGGACCCTTTTTTTATCATTTCCCAAACTTCCCACCACTTGACGTGGCTGGTTTTTCCAGAAACGTCGCGTGGCCATCCGATAAACTAGGCCAGTTTGCCGCCGAACAGGGCCGCCGCTTGCCCTCAAGGGCAGGTGCAGGCAGCAACGGTACTGGTGGGGAGGGTTGTTGCTATGCGAGGCAGCGAGGAGAGGGTGACTGGGGTGGTGTCCTCGGCCACACAACGCCGTCCAGCGAGCTAGGCGAGGCGAACGGCGAAGTACCACGAAATGGAAACCCCACGCGTCGCCAGGACGAGTTGAGTCGCTCGCTGAGGCCCAGGTGACGGACTCTGCTGTTCATCGTCGCCCCAACAGCTGCCCGTTACAGTGAATGTTGTGCCGCGTGCGTGCGCGGCCCTTCCCCAGCATGGTACGACGCAACAAGAGAAAGGCACAGTGGAGCGTTTCGTTGGCATGTCCGACGAAAAAACGAACTCCAATGCGAAACATGCACGCGAATTTCGATAGCCCTCCCTCTACGAAAGCACTGGGGGAAAGCATGCAGTGCTCACCACCAACTGTAGACCGATTCGCTAAAATACACACGCACTCGTTCAACAAGCAATTCTGCCCAACAATATCACCACCATTATTTAAAAAAAAAAAAAAAAAAAACTACTACTGCTACTACTACTTAGGAGTATGGTCTTCAACATCATGCATGAACATCATTGCAGGACTCTGTAGCCATCATCGTTTCTTGCCTTGTCAACAACTGTGGCCGTCCAGATAACAATAGCACCGAAGGCAAATATCATGAGGCCAAGCATATTTGCCACAATTGACTCGGTACCCCTTTTGTCGATGCCCCCAGCAAAGCGAAACGTCATTTTCTCCAGGACTCCTTGTGACGCGGTGGCAAGTGTGAAACAAAAAAGGAAAACTCCTAGGAAGGTATGCCAGGGCATGAAGGCTTGGCGAGCAGCAAGAGATGTGGTAGGATAGAAGAAGGCATAGAGACCAAATAGCCACTGCAGGGAGGAATGGATGGGGGAAAGATACATACGCATGAGCCCTGTAAGATGCTAAAAAGCAGACAGAGCAGGAAGGAAAAAACAAAGGAGACAGGCGAAAGGAAGGGCGAGGACCAGCATACAACTCACAGAACATAAAAGAAGAGCGTACCTGGAAGGCAAAGAGCACAAGAACACTCATGCCACACCAAGAGTGTAGACTATAAAGATCGGGAATGGACTTGAGGCTGTGAAACTTGAACACTGCCCACACTCCCACCAGTGCTAACAGCATAGCCATCCCATTTATGATCAAATGGGCAAGCTTTCTGGCTGGCCTTGAGAGAGGAAGTAGGCGGTAGGCAAGAATGCCTGCAGTTAAACATTAAGAGGCAGAAACAACCAAGATACGAGTGACTAAGGCACGACCGACAGATATTCAAGCAGGTACTCTGTGATTCACCAGAACGGAAACCAGCAGTTACTGTTTAAAGAACGTGAAGCCATCTCAATACAAAGGCGATAGACGAGCCCAGCAGAGAACTAGCAACACGAAAAGGGTTCAATTCAAAAGGGGTAGCAGCCAAAATAGGCCACAGCCTAGAAACGAGGGAGTACCTTCACCAAAGACGATGACAAAGCCGATGATCATGAAGAGAGGATGGCACTGCATCGGAAAGGCACGTACAACAATCGGCGGTAAAGTAGTTAAGGTGAGAAAGAAAAGCCGGAGTAACGAATCTGGGTGAAAGACAATGTGCAAGACCAAAGATCCAAAAAGAAAGGAAGAGAAACGGCTGGCGGGGAACTTCTAGTTTTCTCCAACCGAGAAGCCATAAAATTGGCGTGAAGTAGTTACGAACATTGAACACGGCGTCAGGCTTTTGCAAATCAAAGCTTGCTCCGCCCTGAAATCCCGCGACCCAGAAGGTCGCTAGGCCTGCGAGCAACACTGCGGATGCATGGCACGCAGCCACAGCAGTGGTGGAGTAACCGATTGGCTCAGACATGGGGGTACGGTGGTGGCGGCCGAGAGGAACGGGCGAGGAGACTGGAAGCGGGGACGTCGGCGTAGTTGATGGCGAATAATCGGCGTTGGAAACAGGGGAAGTTCTCCATGGACCCTTGCGAATCATGACGAAAACCAATGTGCTGCAACGAGGGGTGATGATGAGATGATATGCCCGGACTGTTGAAATTCATAAGCGCGCATCACGACGGTTCGTTTTCCGTAGAAGACCCTACCAAACCATTCTTGATGTTAGATAAAATCCTGTAGAACACGAAGCACCTCACCTCAACCATCCGCAACAAAGTGAACTCCTCTTACACACCCTAAACCCCTAGTGAACAGTGTACCTTAGCCAGTGTGAACTCTAAGGCTTTATTCCGCCTTAAACTATGAATACTCAATCCAATAATACGCTTTACTGGTAATTTATATAATTGCACTTTTAGGTTTATTTTCAATGTAAGTAGACATTCAATGCGATATTGATCCATAATCATCTCTCCTAAAGACTCGGTAAAGCTATGATACATGAACTTGGGCCCAACATTCACGATGGGAGACGCCCAGACAGGAAGGCAGAGTACCTACAGTCTGGCTTCAAAACGTCACTTGTTTCATAATCTTCCAGTGAGCCGTCGAGGAAGCCTGCACCTTGCTCCGAGTCCACAGCCACAGGCCGGTGCAGCAACGCTGACAAGGCAGTGTAATCCATGGCCCGCTGCTCCCTTCCTGAACGATAGGTCTGCCCCATAACGCCATGAATGTCCTTTGTTGTCTGAACGTGACGGAAAGCCAAGTTGATGTGTGCCTCTGCGTCATCTGCAGTCTGCAGCAGCGGATGCGCCACGCGAAGCTTCACGTCCAGCTCGATGAGGTCTGGGATGCTCACATGATACGCGTCCACTTCCATGGGCCCTCGCATCTGCACACCCACGAACGTCAATTCCAGTCCTCCAGGCAGGTTGAGCCTTTCGCCGGCGTGCATGCGGGGGAGGGGGGCCCCATCAACCTCCAGCCGCTCCACGAACCCCTCTGCGCGTTCCTGCTGGGTCCCGCGTCGTGCGACCATGCGGAACTTGTGCTCGCGGCCCGCCTCACCAGCGGCAGCGCTGTCCTCGCGCCAGATGAGTCCCAGCTCGCGGATCCACGTGCGCACAGCCTTGCCGGCGCGGATGATGGACGCGCCGACGGTGCGATCGTCCAGGTACCCGTGCATGCGCATGTTGAGGTGCACGCGGCGGTCGGTCACGAGGCAGAAGGACTTATCCGGCAGCCCGTTGAACTCGAAGCGAGTGCCGTGCGCCCCTCGGAAGTGCGGGTCGTTCTTGGTGTAGGGGCACGAGGCGCCGATGCGTGAGCAGTTGTACTTGATGCGATAGCCGTTGTTGTTGTCGAGCTGCGTCTCGCACTTGGGCGCGTCGCCAGGAGGGTAGAGCCAGCAGATGCCGCACTTGAGACACTTCCCGGACGGATTAATTGTTCTGAAATTTCAGTCACAACAGAACGAAGGTGAGTGATCAGTGGACGCAAGACAGAGGTTCCAAACGTGACCGCCGAAGAGAGACGTACCCGATGTAGTGCTGCCAGAGGCGGCAGGGCATGGCACTCTTGGAGCAAGCCTCGCAGCACTGCGAGACGGTCAGATTCTCGATGCACCACTGGTTATTGGGCTTCGGGATACTGCTGCCTGGTGGGCACTGGAGCGACGATTGCACCGGAAGCTGCAGCGCGCGGGAGAAGGAATGTTAGCGATTTATCAAGTATGATGACGAGCGATGCGGTTGATTTCTTATGAAATGCTCACCCTCCAGCGGCCTAGGATCCCCGCGGTGTCATTGCACATTCCTCCAGAGCAGAAGAACTTGAGTGGGGGGCAGTCTTGGAGGGGACACGTGGGGTACTCCTGGTCATTGTACCAGTCGATGACAGTGGCGCTCACGCCGTTGCCGTTTCCGTTGTTGTTATTCTGCCCCGCGGGCGACAGAGTTACCGTGCCGGGGGGAGGAGGGCTAGCAATTACTGCAGGAGGTGGAGGGGAAGCAGTAACCGCATTATTTCCGTTCCCCTTCCCGTTATTGCCGCTGCCCGCGAAAGCGGAGGTCCAAAAGGATACCAGGACGAGCGACAGAACGAGAACCCTGGCCATGATTGTATGGCGACGCACTGAGTGCAATCGAGACAGATGTGCGTGCGATCAGTAGAGTGAGTTATTGCCGAAGATGTCGTAGGGATGTTGCTTTCGAGCGGAGCTCGAGGAGCAAAGAATCAGGCAGGGAACGAGAACAAGGGGCAGCGGTAATGGTAATGGTCGAGATGGCTATGAATGATCGAGGCAGGGCGAGTAAGAATATGTCAAGGTGCACCCAGTCCCCTTTTGCTGTCCAGTGTTGTTACAGCTCAGCATTCACGACGTCGTCGCCTCCGTCGCGAAAGACAAATTTCACTACGAAATTCTAGGCGCGCCCCTCGAAGTCTAGTAACCACATTACAGGTGGGATTTTCTTTCGCGCTGGTTGGCCTCCGCTTGCAGCGGCTCCATCGAAGCGGGAATGCCCCTCACCATCATTCAGACCAGACCGCACCACACCACAAATCAGCTGCGCGTGAGCCTGCCAACCGCAAGAGCCTTCGATGTGAGAGCTTACCCTCCGAGCATGCAGTAGCTCATTGAAGTTCTATGGATGCATTTTGCGGTTTAGGTTTTAAAATAACCTCAACGATTATCTCGTGACTATTGCGTACGGAGTAGGGGACGAAAGCGGAGTATTTTAGGACAGCTGAGGGGTTTGCTGAGGAGTGACAACCTCCTAGTACTACTAAAGAAATGGCACGGCCCCAATGTTCCGCATTTTGCCAGTGAGGGTGGATGCGTCCCGCTAGTATGGTTCCACGTTGGTTCACTGGTGATAGGCATTCCATCCAGATTGCCCAAATCCGAGTATATAATCTCTAGTAAAGAGCCCGCCAAAACGCTTGACTAACGGAAAACATTTACCCTGAGAAAATTGCTGTGTACAGTTCTGTACCACCGCCAAACCTCGCTGCTGAGGCAAGCCTCAAGCCACGGGCAGCCCTCACTTCTTGGTTTGGCACGGCAAGGCCTCTCCTCCCGGCATGCACGTGGAAAGCCCTCCGCCCCATCACAGGACATCTCGGGTGTCTCCAGCCTATATTGATGCAGATCGGATCAATTACTATGTAAGCGCATCTCTCAGCAGTACCAAGTTATAGCCCAGGTTATCACCACCTCCGAGACTCACCGTGCAGTATTTCCCCACCACTTTAAAGGGGGAAATTACCGCATAACGACACAGAAATTACAAAACACCAAAAGAAGAATCCCAAGAACCCTTTCCAGGATGACACACCGTAATGGATTCAGAATGCACTGTACGGCGCCTGGAGTGGGGCCTGAGGCAACAGTGAATTCACGGCAGGTCAGTGTACGCACAGACAAATAAAGGGCTCCATGAAGGACACGACAGATTTCAAGCTGGCACTCAGGAGATACAAACAGACAACACCACTGGGAGCCTCGATCTACTGTGGCGCTCTGGATGCCAGCTGAGGAGGATCCCCTCCCACACATACTCGTCCGTACAACAATGTTAATTCGAAAAGTTTCACTTTTCTTCTTCTTGGAAAATCAGGCAGTCCATTCAAGATGGAAATTCTGAGACATTTACTCCTCTGAACGGCTCACTTCTGTACTGCTTCCTGCGTTCACTGTTACTTGCTCGTTCTCTAATTAACCACAGTATTATAGAGGCCGCGCATTCCGGAACCAGTGAAATATAAACCACAGTGGGACACTAACACCGCACCCATGGAAACGAATCTGGACCAATCCGAGAACTCCAAAACCATCCTCCCACCACTGCTCTGTGCCAGTCAACATCTCCGTGTTCAGCCATCCACCCTTCACTTTACAAGTCAGGAAGCCATAATGTTTTGTGGAAATACCTTAGAACTTATCTAGGATGGGAGGGAATGTGTTTCCTTCGTGCCTCTCATCATTTCGTCAATACATCGAGCATTGCTGAGAGCACGTTTTTTTATTGGGTTGTGCCCGTCCTTGAAAATAAGACAGTCAATTGACAACTCTTGCCTCCTGCCCCCTACCCAGGAGCTCCGCACAGTGTTTTACAGAGAAGAATGAACATCGTTCTACTGTAACACGAGGCTCTTGAATGCAAGCCATGAGATGGAACCCAAGTTGCTGCAGAGTGGTGATTGTGGCGTTGCGGTGAGATAGAGCAAGTTCATCTGGGAAGGCAAGCAGCAACTGGCAGGCAGGGAAGGGAGAGTTGTGCTGCTGCCAGTCCGAGACGAGCGGCAGGTCAGCCCCCGTGAGAGAGAGCTGTGAATAGGAATGGGTGGCACAGGAGACGAGAGAGAGACAACTGAGGAAGTGGAGGCGGACGCAAGATAAAGGAGTGGAAAGTTTGGGGAGGAGGGAAGAGAGCGGAGGGGGGGTGAGTCAGAAGAAGAGAGAAGAGGGGGAACAGAAGCAGCAGGTGCCCAAACTCATCCACGACCGTGTAAGAGGGATGGTGAGGGGTCAAAAGCAGTATGAGTGCACATATGCAGTTGAGCAAGGGATGGGAAGGGCAGCGATTGAGAATGGCAGCAGGGTCGATCACCTTGAGCGTGTGAGCAGTGGAGGATGCATGCGCAGAGGCAGCAGAGAGAGCGGTGACCCCGAGGTGAGGAGTTTTCCTGCGCATTGTCCACTCCCACGTGCCTTTTGCCTGGGCAGCCCGCGGGGTCGTTGAGACGACACGGCTGGTGGGCAGCACGGGATGGCAGCGACGTGTCAACGCCGCGAGTGAGGGCAAGCAGAGGGGGGGCACGAGCGAGCAAAGGAGAGAATGGATCGCACAGGGAGCCATGTCAAGCAGCAGCGAGGTGACTGCAACGCCGCATTGTGAAGGCATGGGTGGGCACGTGGAGGTGCACGCGTGCGGTATGGTGCACGCACCTTGTGCTGTTGACCCCCTCCAGCGCCGTGTAGAAGGACGCGCCATGCGGCCCCAGCAGGTGCAGCTGCCCCAGCTGTGAGCGGAAGCACACCACCGCCGCTGCTGCCGCCTGCCACTCCTCCGCATGGCGCCGCAACTAAGGGGAGATGGGGAAGGAGGCGGGAGGGGAATGAGACTAGGCAATCGGTGCAACAGAGGAGAAAACGGAGAGAGGGATACGGGGTAACTTTGGCTGCAAAAGCTAGGTGTCCCCCCCTCGCGGTGCGCCATGCGTTTGGGAGTACCTGTCGGAAGTTGCGTGCGCACGTCCTCAGGCTGACGTGCATGATGGACTGCCGCTCCCTCGCCAGCTGCGGCCCCGTCGCCGTATCAAACAGGTTGTCAGCCACGGGGCTAACCCAGGGCTTGGCGGCGTCGCACAGCGCAAAGCCCGTGCGCTTGGCGAACCCAGGGGAGCGGTGCGGGCCAAAGCGTGAGCCCTCCAAGTACCACTTGCGGATGCGCTCATTAGCCTGTACGCACGCAGGGCACGGGGGGCACTGGGTGGGTGACGGGACATAGGGAATTGCGAAGCACAAGGCAGGCGCGAGTGCACCTTCCCCAAGCAGGCCCCCCTCTCCCTGCACCCTAAACCCTAAGCTGTGAGTGGTCTCACCAGCGCGCCCTCCATCTTGGGCTTGCAGGGCCGGCACTTGGCGCCGTTGAGCGGCGTGGAGGCGTTGAGCGAGAGCACGGGCATGGAGTGGTGGCGGTACACGCGGCGGCTCACCACACAGAACGACAGGTCCGCCCGCGCCACAGGCACACCTGCCACCGCCAGCTGCGCTTTAAACGCCTGCTCTGAGTTGAGACCCGTGGGCACCCTGCATGGCAGGTAGTTGGGGGGGAGGGGGGACGGAAGGGAGGGAACAGTGTTGCATGGACAGATGCTCCCCGGCAAGCATCTCCATCCATCCATGCACGTATGCCCCACTGCTATAACTGAGCCCTGACCCTCGCTGCCTGCCAGCTCCCCCGCGCCCACGCCCTGCGTACTCCACGGGGACGGCATGTGTGTTGCCAGGGTTGTCCCCCAGCCCGCCTAGCCCCGCCATGGAGAAGCGCGCGACGGCTCCGCGCACAGCGATGGCGGGCAGCATGGCCAGGCGCGACAGCGCGGGCAGCGCAGTCTGCCACGTGCCGAGGCCAAAGCGGTCGTTGAGGCCGAAGCAGTCGGAGCCGAAGGGGATGGTGTAGGCATGCAGGGGGAACGCGGAGAGCGGCGGCAGCGCGCCGTGCCAGAAAGTGTCCACGCGCGTGCGCAGCACCCAGTCGAACGCCATGACGTGGCGGCGCTCGTAGCCGCGGATGAGAGCAATGCACCCCTCCACCAGGCGGAAGTACTGCAGCATGCCCTGGCGCGGGGTGAGAGGTGGTGGGGAAGGGTGGGGGGGGGAAGGTGGCATCACAGTGGGGTGAGTGGGTGAGCCTGATACGGTGAAGTTTCGCGGTACAAGCCATTGGTCCTTGCATGCAGCAGCATGGACATACGTGCTGCCACACACAAGGCTGCCCACAAAACCCAAAGCCCTTCGTTTCCGTGCTCTCCTCTTTCTCCCTCCCACCTGTGTGCCGTGTGGCGAGGAGGGGTCCTCCACAACCCCCATGGGCAGCGCGCTCTCGTTGACCCACGTGCTGGGGAACACGCGCACGCCGCCCACTGCCACGCCGCGCTGCGCCGCCCACAGCAGCGCCCAGAGCTTGAAGGACGCCTCGTCCAGAGGCGCGTGCAGGAAGAGCACAGGGCGGTGCGGCAGCAGCGGCAGCAGCAGGCGCTGCACGATGGAGGGGCCCGTCATCTCAAAGTCGCGCGCGCCGCCCACCAGACACACCGCCACCCGCCTCAGGTCGGCCGGCTTGGACGCCACCTGGGGGGGAGGGGGAGAGGGGGGGGAAGCGGGCAGCAGCAAGGGCGTGTGATGATATGACAGATGGTAAGGGGGAGACACGGGGGCTCATGGTGGTGGAGGGGGGACGAGCCAGGCGGGAAAGGCCGGGGAAGCGAGAGAAAGGCAATAGGGTGGGATGGTGGAGGGGGAAGGGATGAAGGACCGCCGCTGCCGATTCACCTGGTGTCGCCACGCCGCCCCTCGTCTCACCTGCTCCCTCACGCGCGCATCTCCTCTCCATGCCTCGGCGCCGCTCTCACCCTGCTGCTCTTCCCCCTCCTCAATATCACCAGCAGCAGCGGGAAGGGGCGCTAGGGGCACGTCAGGCGGCACGTGGAACAGCACCTCGTCACCACTGCTCAGGGTAGCGCCGCCTTCCCCCCCTGCTGCCGCCACCTCCACACCCTCCCTCGCCTCCCTCCCCCCGCCCTCTTCCATGCTGCCCTCTCTATGCGCGTCGCTCCCCCGCTCCGCCCACCCGCTGCGTGGCGCATGGCCCTCCATGTCGCGACCTTCCGCCTTCTCACCCGCCTCCTCTGCCGTGCTCTCCGCCTCGGAGTGTGAGCCCGTGTCGCCTGCCACTGACACCCCTGTGCTGCTATCACCAATGCCGCCCCCCTCCTCCCTCTCTCCCCCGCGATCAATCCGCCCCTCGCCCCCATAACCCTCCTCGCCCCCTTCACTTCCCTCGCCCCCATCGCCCCCCTCGCCTCCTATCTGCGCCTCCTGCAAGCCCCTGTGCGGGAGGCCGCCCCCTTCCGCCGCCTGCCGTTGCGTCTCCTTGCGCGCATCACGCACTCCTCCCGCTCCATCCTCCCCATTCACCGTACCTCCCCAAAATCTCTCCCCGTCGCCCCTTTCCCCCAACCCTTCTTGCGCGCCCGCGGTTCTCCGCCAGTGCGCTCTCCCAACCGCGCGCCCCTCCGCCTCGACCTCCAGCCATGGGCGCACAAGGGCCTCCGCGGGCTGCCGCCGAGAGGGAAGCGGGAGGGAGTGGGATAGGGGGGTCGATGAGCGGGAGAGAAAGGTGGGAGAAGCGGGGGAAGGAGGATCGGAGGTGGACGAGGGAGAAGGTTAATTGCGGGCGACACGGCGCAGAGAGAAGACGCGGAACGGGCGGACCGGGTAGAAAAAGATGTGGGTACGTGACGCGGCGACGTGGTCGCAATGGTACCTGAGAGAGTCGCGCGTGGAGCAAAAGGGCGGACACGAGCCATGCGCCCCATGCCGCCACGAGCGCACGCGACGTCCACTGCCTGTGTCCTGAGAGCGGTCGACTAGTTCGCATTGTGGCACGAGCCGCGCGAAGTTCAGACGAAGCGTCGTTTCTCCTGATGCTGGCCCGTGAGAGGCTCTTGAAGATGGAGCATGGCGCAATGCACCCATCTGACCATTGATTGTCGTCCCCTGCTCCATCCCGCACTGCATGGAACAGGACGCGTGTGTTGTAACGTCTGCAGAGGGAATTACCCTAGAACACATGTAATGCATGCGACCTCTGGGTAACCCTCGTTTTGCCCCCGGGGCGAGACATTACGGTATATGCGTTGAGAGCTGGTACTTAGAGCGTCTCCAGAGTGGGATGTCGATCGATGACGACATCCTCTGACATCCGTCCTAGGTTCAGCACGCTGCCAATACGGACTAGTGTGTTCGACTACACTGCTGTTTGTCGAGCAGGGTCCAGCCGGGTTACTGAAGGATTAAATCGGTTCTTGCGCAACGCCGAACCAACTTGGTTCTCACTGGACCCCCGATAAAAAGGGTAGGGTACAACAAAAAGTTTACGGTTCGGTGCTTAGACATCCGATGGATGTCACGGAAGTTGCTGAGGAGCCTGGCCTGGGTACGTCCTTAGTTCGCTATGCACCGTCCAGGACGGTGTCTCACGTGACCCGCCAGATGCAACCTGCGTACATCTTGCTTTTTTGTAGCAAATGGCACGAATCGTTGTGTGCATGAGCAGGTGGGGAAATTATTGCATTCATACGCGATGAAGCTTGCAGCTTGCACGGCTTCGGGAACAGAGAATTTCTGGCGGAGGCTGTGAGCTGCACATGTCAGCAGGATACACCTAGCCCGCGGTAATTTTACACCCTGAAACTTGGCGGCTGAAAGACTTTTGTTTCTACCCTGACCATTTCTGAGTGCGTAGACAGTACCCCCTTGTTCCTACGGCCTAAGCTTGGCAGACTCCACGCGGGAAAAACTTTGAGCACTGCCTAAGCTGACGTCAGGTTTCCCGACTCGAGAAACACTAAATCGAACAGTAAACGTTTCGTGTAGAAAGCCAAGTTGAAATTGTTTTTTGAGGGTATCCGGATCTGGTCTTCAGAAGCTGCTTTTGGGGGGTGAATACCCTCTCGGCGGCAACCCTGTGAAAATACGGGGGCTAGGTGTACAGCACCAAGAGACAATGCCACTCCGCGTTGTCGATCGACCCCTCATTGTACAGAACCGTACTAAACCATTGAGGTTGAACCCCAAACAGCCAGGGCGTGGAACATAGACCGTCGCTTTTGCAATAACCGGTACTCGGTCCGGACTTGACGACGACAATGACAGACATGAAAGTCCCCTTGTCAGCATTTGCGAAAGTGTTACCAAACCAAAAACCAGACTTCTGCCAGGTCCGAAATTCAATGTTTCACGCCCTTACGAACAACAGCCAGGGGTAGGTAACACCTGCGGGGTCCTCTCCTCTCACTTCTCGGGGTGTGCAAAATGAATGGGAGGATGTTGGTCCCCCACGTCACCAATCGGTACAGTCGGGTTCCTTACTTTCCTGAAACATTCTTATTATAGAGTCTTTCGGTATCCTCACTTCCCTAAGATCACAAAACACTATATACTAGTTTTTGTTGATGAATAATTTTTATCATGCATTTAATATAATACTATAGGAAAAAATATTACTGAATGGATTTCATGCCCTCATAGCATATGATAAAGGATGAATAATCTGTATATAAGTTTTTTTGGAAATGGGTATGTATAATACGTGTCCATTAGTTATTGTATCGCGAGAGCTTGCGATGCACAATGGCATGAGAGGCAGATGCCGTCAGGACACTGGTTCGTCGGTTTGGGACAATGATGGAAGTGGAATGGGTGAACCTCCTTTGGCTAGAGGAAATGGAACTATTCGATGCAGGCAAGCTCTCAGATAGTCACACTGCGAGTCGCGTACATCCCAGCCAATGCGTGGGGGCACGACCAAGGCGCCCATGAATCGGCCCTTAGTATTTTGCAGGGAGCGCCTCGGAGGAGTTGCTTTTTGGCTGGTGGACGCGGATACTCAATGTACCATGTGAGCAATGGAAAGATGACAGCGAGAGCAGAGAGAAAAGCAGCAACCATGAGATGGAGCAAGAAAACCTTGGTTGGGCTCCAGATTCACAATTGGCGTAGGGCAGCAGCGTGCAGCAACCGGCCCACTATTCCTCTGCCGGGGAATCCTTCCCTTTTATCCTGCCACTGATTTAGGGCCTCCTAAGCTCGATTGCCAGTCCTTGCTCTCATGCCTGTGCACTCTAGACAGCGGTGGTTGCGGAAACTCACGCATCGTCCTGTTACATCACAGGTAGCAGACGCGCCACGGTCGACTTAGTAGTGGTATAGTTTTCCGCCGAGACTCAGCGCCGGATTAAGTGCCGCGTCCTCCGAGCATTGTGCGGTGCTGGTTGAATCTGGCCCGCCTTTCACATCTCTTGGGGGGGTTGTCGCTGGCGGTGCGTGGCGCCACTGGGCACGCCGTGCCGCACCATGGAATGCGGGCGCGCCCATGGCGCCCATGCGCTCCACTGGACTGTCGCGGCCCCACAGCGCTGCCTCCTGCGCGTCCGCCCGCTCGCCCTCATGCCGCTCGTGCTCCTCGCTCTCCACACCGCGCACTGCCTGCCACATCCCCCCCCCTCCGTGTCACGCGCCCACCTGGCGGAGGGCGCAGAGGACGAGGGGCAGGGGCGGGCCCCGCAATGGCTGGATTCCTGGCTGGTGAAGTGGCTGGGGACTCTCGCGAATGGTAGCTGGCAGAGCGTAGAGCGGCGCGACGGTGGCGCGGAGGAGTTGGGCAGTGCGGCCAGGCGGAGCGTTGGCGGAGCACGGCGGTGGTTGAAGCGGCGCGCAGTGAAGCCGAACCTGGTGGTGGCGCAGGACGGCACGGGCGATGTCACCACGCTGCGAGTACGGCGCGCGCTATCGCACCTCCCCCGTCGCCCATCACTCGCTGCTGCCTTCACCCTCCCTGCCTGCCGTGCGCCCTTCCAAACTGATGTCGTCCCATTCTCCATCCACTAGCATTCAGCCCGCCACCTCCTTCCTCTTCCATTTCCCCTCATCTCCACTCGCCTCTCCTCCCCGCGCCCCCGCCCCCTTACCACCCCCCCACCCCCCCGTCCACTCCTCTTCCCCGTTCTCCCGCTCCGTCGCACCTCGCGGCACTCTCGCGCCTTTCCCCCCGGGTCTGTGGGTGTGCAGGAGGCGGCGGCGATCATCAACGGCGTGGCGGCGTCGCAGGGGTGGTTCGTGGTGCGCATACGCGCGGGCGTGTACGCCGACAAAGTCGACATCGCGCGCCCCATGGTTGCGCTCATTGGCGACGGACCCACACGCACTGTCATTACCGGATCGCGCAGTAACGCGGACGGGTTCGCCACATGGGACACGGCCACGTTCTGTAGGCCTCTCTCGCGCTGCCCCTACACCGCCCCCTCCCCCCCCGCACTCTTCTCCTGCCTCTCTCTGCGCGCTCGCAACTGCTTCCGGCCCACTTGGTTCGCTTCCACCCTCCCTCGTCCTCTCATCCTCCCCCGCACCCGCCAATCCCCTTCTCCCTCTCCCCCCCCCCCCCCCGTCTCCCCGCGTGTGCGCCAGCGTCGTCGGGCGCGAGTTTCGCGGCGGCGGACATCCGGTTCGAGAACACGGCGGGGCCGTACAAGGAGGCGGGCGTGGCGTTCCGCGCCACGGGCGACATGGCCGTGCTCTACCGCTGCCACTTCGCTGCCTTCCAGGTGCCGCCCCCACCAATTGCCACCCGCGCCCTCTCTCAGCACTGCCCAATACAACCGCCGTGCGGGGAGCTGGCCTCGCCGCACGTGCCACCCACCCGCACGGCATACACGTGCTGCCAACCCAGCTCCCCTTCCCCACCCTCCACGCCTCCCCCCACGCCGTCGCGGCCGCCGTGGTTGTTGCGTGCAGGACACGCTAAACCCGCACAGCGGGCGGCAGTACTACCGCGAGTGCCGCGTGGAGGGCGCGCTGGACTTCATCTTCGGGCGCGACGGCGCCGCCGTGTTCCACAGGAGCCGCATCGACGTGCGCAAGTGGACGGGCGTGCAGGGCTTCCTGGGCCGCAGCATCATCACCGCCAACGGCCGCACCACGCGCAGCGGCGGCGGCGGCTTCGTGTTCGTGGACTGCGCCATCAACGCGCGCGACCCCGGCGCCAAGGCCGTGCTGGGGCGGCCGTGGAAGGCGTACGCGCGCGTGGTGTTCGTCAACACGTACATGAGCAATGTGAGCTGCAACCACCGCCGCGCTGCCACGCCCGCCGTACAGCAACCGCGGTGGCTAGCAAGATACGAGGCTCTGCATGGAATCATTGCTCCCTCCTCGCGCTCCTCCCCCTATTCCTCCCCCCACTCTCTTTCCCCTTTCCCCTCTCCCCCCATCCCCCACAGGTGATAGAGCCGGCAGGGTGGGCGTCGTGGCCGGGCAAGAACTTCCGCGCCAAGCCCTTCCTGGCGGAGGCGGGCAGCTACGGCCCAGGCGCGCGCAGGGCGTACGCGGACTGGGTGCACCCGGGCAGGCTGGGCGCGCGCCACGTGGCGCCGTTCATGCCCGACCCGTTCATCCAGGCCGCCTCGTGGGTGCAGCGCACGCCGCTGAGCATACCGTATCCCTGACCCGCCACTGCTGATGGCCTCGGGCCAGCCCTCACTCTGTGAGGTGGGTGGGAGGAGAGGGCAGGCGCATGGTGCTGCTACTCTGCTGCTCGGCTTCTTCTGCTTCAAGGTGGAAGGGAGCATGTGGGGTCATACGGCACTGCCTTCCTGCCTCCCTAAGCACGCCTTGGTGCATGCAGACACGTATACGTATACCGGATGCTTCTTGAGCAAGATGTCTAGTAAAATAGGCTAGCGGACTATAGGTAGCTCATAGGTAGATCCCTTAGTGCTGGCGCGGACTAGCTACCTTCTGGGTTGAGGTTCCCAAGGTTTTGATGAGGAGCAATACCACATGCTCTTCTATACATGCTTGTTATCTATTGTGCTGCCTCCAGCTTCTGACGTGCTGATTGGTTAGATCCCATTGCAGGCAGCAGCATGCTAACAAGTTGGTCTATTATAAAGAGCATGGTGTTCCAAGCACAAGCACACAACAGTCAGGCATAGCCCGAGGGTCATTTTAGGTGAGATTGCAGTGTTAGGTAGAGCAAAACATGGCGAGGCAAGGGGAGGGGGACTGAGTTGGCGGCATAGTGTGTGGTGGGGAGGGAGCAGCGGTGCGTGGGTCACGACTGCACCCACTCGTGCTGCAGCACCTGCTCTGCCGTGGGCCTCCCTTCCACCCGCACTTGCAGCAGCAACTTCAGCAGCCGACGGGCACTCCGCGAAACACCCACCTTCCCTCCAACATCACCACTGCCACCATTGCGAGCACTGCCACCGTTGCCACTGCTATCGCCACCTGTGCTGCTGAGCCCACCTGCCTTCCTCTCACAACTTGTCGAGCCTCCTGCATCGCTCGCCTTCCTCACCCTCTCTCGAGATATGTCCACGGCGCCCTTGTCCTCGTTCCACGTGGGGTACACGCCAAAGAGCAGCGCGTGCAGCACGATGCCCGCGGACCACACGTCCGCCTTGTGGTTGTACTGCGCGCCCAGCGCCACCTCCGGCGCCATGTAGTGCGGCGACCCCGTCACGTCCGGCCCCATCCACTGCCCCACCTGCAGCTGCGCCGCCAGCCCAAAGTCAGTGATCTTCACTGCGTCCTGCTCCCTGTACTCGCACGTGCCTGCCTCTACCTCCTCTGCTGCGTCCACCCCTGCTGCCTCGTCTCCCTGCCCCCAGTCTGCCCTGGGCCTGGTGGCAGCCGGTCCCACGAGCAGCACGTTCTCCAGCTTGATGTCGCGGTGGATGATGCCGCACGCATGGATGTCCGCCAGCCCCTGCGCAATGCCGCGGAACATGGCCTTGGCGCTCGCCTCATCCACCCCGCCGCCCGCCTCCACCACGGAGAAGAGGTCGCAGCGGCCCAGCTCGAGCAGCAGGTGCACGCGCTTGGGCTCCTCGTACACGCCACGCAGCGACACCACGTTGGGCACGTGGGCCAGCGACGTCAGCAGGTTGATCTCCTGCTGCAACACGGGGATGCGCCGCTCCGACTTGCGCAGCGTCTTGCACGCCAGCCACTCCCCCGACGTCCTGTGCTGGCACCTGAACACCTTGCCCCACCGCCCCTCGCCCACACACCCCCCCACGTCAAAAATGTCTAGAAACCGCACGATTCTCACGTTGCCATCGCTGCTTGCACTGCAGGCTCCCAGCACTGCCTGTGCCGCGCGCTGCCATTCCTCATCAGCCGCGGGCCCGCCCTCGCTACCGCCCATGCTGCTCCGCCTGCCTGCTGGTCTTAGCTTCCGCTGCAGCGGCATCTCCGCCTCAAGCGCACCCCCAGGCGCTGCACCTTCCGGTTGCAGGTCAAGGGTGCTGACTGCTCTCGCGCACTGCACTGCTTCGCCACGCCTACCACAGCCACCAACGCCAGCCGCCTGCACTGAGCACGGACCAGCGGTGCTGCTGTCTTGTGTGCGGCCACCTGAGTTGCTCGCCACCTCCACGTTCACCCTCTCGTCCATGACACAGCCCCCCTCTAGAACGCCTTTCTCCACTGTTGTCTCACAACCACCCACGCTGGACCTGCTAGCTCCGCCGTGCACGTCGCAACACTCCACACTCGCAGCATCGCCCAAAGCTGCCACGTCCACCTCTCCGGCGTTTCCATCGGCCGTGCTGCCGCTCTGCGCGTACAGCAACAGCTTCTCCAGCACCTCCGCCTCCTCCCCACTGCGCACGCCCAGCCCCTCGCTGTCAGCCAAGTCGCTCCAGCAGATGCCATCACTCGCCTCGCCATCGCTAGATCGCACACATGCAGGCGACGAGCCCCTCATGCCATGCGAACCACCACCGCCCTCACTCGCCCGACCCCCGCTCACACTCCTTACTGCTCCGTCACACCCACGCTTCTCAGCCACAGCCACTTCCATTCCTCCCCCCACTTCACTATCGGCATGACTCTCGCCTTGGCAAAAAGAACTAAGTCCCTTTCGTACATCATTCCTTTTCCCATCCTCGTCCTCCTCATCACTGTCATCGTCCTCCTCTTCCAATTCATCTTCCTCCTCCTCGTCTTCCTCTTCTTCTTCCTCCTCGTCCTCGTCTTCTTCCTCCTCTTCCTCCCCGTATTCCTCCCCCCCCTCCTTCTCCTCGTTGCCTACCCGCCTTCCCCTTTCGTCTTCGTCCTCGGCGTCACTGCCCCACGGCCCAGCGTCGTCGTCCCAGCGCCACCAGCTCCACCAGGGGTTGAAGCACCGCACCGTCTCCTTGCCCCACCCGGGCAGCGACTCCTCCACCACCTCCAACTCCACGCCGTCCATCAGCGCATCTCCACCGTACATCTCAGCATCTTCATCAACCTCCAGATAGACGAGCGGGGAAGTGCCTCCAAAGCAGGAGCTGTGGCGTGCGGAGCGCGGCAGCAGTGCAGTGGGGTCGCAGGCAGGGAAGTCTACAGCAGAGGCGGCCATGGCAGCACTCACATCGTGGCTGCCGAACCGCTTCGTGCTCGTCCTTCCTGTCAGCATGCCCTGCCTTGGGCCCTCCTGCTCCTCGTTGCTCCTGCCCTTCCCGCCCACACCTTCGCTTCCCAGTATTGGAGATATGAGGTCAGCATCCCACTTGGCGCGTCCACCCTTGAGCGAGTGTCGGCCTATGGCGGTGGAGGGCGGAGGCCTGCAGCGGTCTTCCAGCTTCCTCAGCTCGGCCAGGAACTCTCTCTCCTGCCGCTCCTTGGCGGACTCCGTCGAGTTGTCCGTAGTGCTGTGCGCTGACGCGGCGCAGCTGCTGCCATCACACCCTGGCGCGCCATCGCCATCTGTCTCATCAAAGCCCATCGCCTTGCCACCGCCCAAGTCGCCGACGGGCGTCTCCCAACGCGCTGCACGGATGCCGCACATGCCACCGATTCGGCTCCACCGCACCCCCCGGGTGCTGAGGCCCAAACAACTAGGCTGTGTCGCTTCAATCGCTTCAACCTGGGAAGACCGCTTCGTGCAAAGACACCTGCTCTTGTCTGCAATGGCCCAGGGAGGTCCAGGCTCCGCTGCCATGAAGCTGTCCAGGGAGAAGCCTCGCCGCATGAGTTGTTGGCCGCTAGCGGCGAAACTTGGCCACGTGTCTACATTCGAGTCAACAATCCACGGGTCGTCTTGCATCTGCGCCTGTGGCGCAACTCGCGACCTCGAGCCAAACCAGCTCCTCTGCAGCGGAAAACGGAAAATTGAGTGAGAAAGGCGTTTTAATGGCACCCTCATATGACGAATGACAGCACAACTCACTTTAGCAGGCTGCTTTTTCGCCCTGCTGACTAGCGACTTCAGTTTGATTGGAGATTCTCTTTTGAATATCCTCAGAAATGGAAGGGAACGGGCCTTGCTTATGGCAGCGGGCTTCTTGGATAAGCTGCGTCGCGCAAAGCGCTGCTTGATCCCCCGCCAAGCCAACACGGCAGACGTTTTGCTCTTTGTGAGCAGGCTCTTCCCAGCTCTCTGCAGCGGGCTTCGAATAATCGAGGTGACAGCTGACACGAGGATCCACATCGCCGTGAATACCCAATTCACGGCAAGCTTTAGCCTCCGACGCGGTTCCACAAGCCCCATCTGTTGCTTCTGGCTTTTATTCCTTCGAGTAGGCCTGGCACACTCTCGACGCCACCTCCAATAGATGTTAGTTTCGCTCCCATTCATATCGTCGGAAATTCTAGTCGAACACGAGAACTCCTGTTGGGGTAGTTGTTCTACAAAGGCCGCGGTCAGGGTGGGCAGTAGCAGAGCCAGGAAGCAAATAGAAGGGTGGGAGGGGTCCAAGGTGGCGCCATTCCCAAGGTGAGGAGGATGAGTCACGAGGACATGGTATGGCAAGCCCCCGCGATGACAGGTTGATGTCTACCCGAAGCGGGTTGTTCCCAAGGGGGCTCATGAACATCCCGACTTTTCCGTCTCGTTCCGTTCCGCGAATGGCGTGGTATTGATATTGCTCGCACACACCACGAAATCCATGACAAAATTCGAAATAAAACTGGGCCTCACGGACAAATTGTTGTATAACGATACAAAGTATCAAAACCCTATCAAGCTCACAAATGTAAACTCATACATATTTCTGCACCTTCCAACCTTGTGGGATAAAATCCAATGCAACATCTCATCTCCGTTTCTGCACTTCGTATCAATGGCAAATCAAACGAAATCAAACAAACATACATCTTATACTGTACTAAAAAACGCTCAAGGTTTCGAAGGGGGAAATCATCGAGAGAACCTTAGAGGCAATCCAATATTGAAAGATTAATAATATTATATTGTAATCAAGCTAATTGCAAATAAAAGGATTGAATTCATCATAACAAATCGTTCTCAACCTCTTCAAAAGTTTGAACTCCGAGGCTTGTTCTAACCTCATCTCACACGCCCTATAAAATTATAACAACATTATTCGTTTGTGGCAGCACTTTCAGCATCTGATCCATACTGTGCTTTATTCAGACTATTCCTCCCAACACGTTTCTAGCTACAAATGTAGGGATTATAGAAATGGAGCACATGATTGTGTATGACTCTTCATTTCGAGTCACTCTATTTTCGTGCCATGCATGCATCCTCTCGAAGTCCATTGTCGGGCCAATCAAAGTTCAGCAAACAACATTGCCCCTCAATCTCCCACACAGCCCATGCACCACGCGTACTCCTCACCCCGTCACAAATCTCGTGCCTGTGCTCTTCGTAGCTCCACCTGTATCAGCATCGCTCTGTTCCCATGACCGTCTCTTTCCCCCTGCCCGCCCCTCGTCGGCGCGCAGTAGCGCTTCTTCCGTGCTCCTCCATCCCTCCGCTCGGAAGTCGCTCGTTGGCTTTCGGCTCGCACTCCTCGCAATCCGTCGAAGCGGTCTCCGCGAGCACGCGTCGCCTTCTGTCGCCGTTTCTACGAGGCCAGTACCGCTCGGCTGGCTCTCAGGTGCATCCACGCTTCACCTCTCTCTCTCTCTCGCCCTCCCTCTCGCTCTCACCCTCGTTCCTCACCGTTCCTCTCCTCTTTCGCTCTCTCCCTCCTTTCAGCTCCCTTCTCCCTCTCTCTCTTACTCGCTCACCCCCTCATTCTCCACACAAAGTCCGCACGCCCCTTGGCCCCTCTCTTCCCCCCTCCCCTCGCTCCCCGCATCTGATTTTCCCTCCACCAGCGCGTCCGCGTGCCGCCAGGTTCCGTGGGCGCGTCGACTGCCGTGAGAGCCGCCATGGCCGGTGCGGAGGCCGCCAAGCGGCCGTTCGTGGGCGACCTGGGAGTGCGCAGCGGGTTCGTGGACGCGGTGAGAGGGGCGGGGGGAAGGGGCTGGGGGGGATGGGGAGAGGTGCGGGCAGGGCGTGGACAGTGGAGTGGTGAGGCCGTGGCAGGGAGGGAAGGGGCCCCATGGTGGCCAACGGAAGGCGGAGGGGAATTGCGGGTCCCAGGCATGCGCGATGCTCGAAGCTGCACGCTCGATTCTGCATGCCCGCGCACCATGGCGCCACCCGCCTCCTGCTTTCTTCCCTCTCTGACGGGCTTTCCTCTGTGCGCTGCTCTGGCCGCCCCTGTGACGCCCCCTGGCAGATCGGCAACACTCCCCTCATCCGACTGAACCGCGCCTCAGAGGAGACAGGCTGCGAGATATACGGCAAGGTGGGGAGGTGTACGGAAATGTGGGGACATTCACGGCAAGGTGGCAAGGCGGGATGGCATGGTGGCGCTGGCGTGGTGCCCCCCCCCATGTGGCAGCCATGTTCAAACATGAGACGCTGTCACCAAAAACCGTGGCTCGCACCCCTCCTGCTTGCGCGCGTATGATGCTTCCCCCTTCCCATTACCTCCCCCTCAACCCTTTCCCGTCCTCCTCTGCCCCGTACCCTTCCCTTCCCATGCATATTGCTCACCCATGCTTGAAATGGCCTGTGTTCTGTGGCACGTGGCACGTGGCATGTGGCATGTGGCTTGTGGCATGTGGCATGTGGCATGTGGCATGTGGGATGTGGGTGGAGCAGGCGGAGTTTTTGAATCCGGGGGGGTCAGTGAAGGACAGGGCGGCATTGTACATCATTAAGGTGGGCGCATGCGTGGGTGTGTGTCAGGCACAATGCTCATGCTGCAGCCCCTTCCACTGTTGCTGCTACTCCCGCATCTCTCATTTCTCTCCAACCCGCCCCCCAGCACCTCGCCTCCTCTCATTCCCTCCTCCCCCCCAAACATCTTCCCACCCTGCCGCCCTCCTGGCCCCCAAGGCGGCAGAGGCGAGTGGCGAGCTGCGGGAGGGCGGGGTGATCGTGGAGGGCACGGCGGGCAACACAGGCATCGGGCTGGCGCTCGTGGCCAATGCGCGCGGCTACAAAACTGTCATCGTCATCCCCGACACCCAGAGCCAGGTGCGCACGCACACAGGCACGAGGCACAGGCACGAGCACAGGCACGAGCCTCAGCTGGGTGAGAGCAGCTGGGAGGCCGCTTATGCAGCTTCCTTGCCCACGACCATGCTTTGGTCTTGGCATGCGCGTGTTCCATCCTCATTTCCACCCCGCCGCTGCCCGTGCTCCCTTGCACCGTGTGTGTGCTGGTGTGCCGTGCGTGGAGCAGGAGAAGAAGGACATGCTGCGCATTGCAGGAGCCACTCTCGTGGAGGTCTGTTTCCCCGCTGCACCATGCGCTGCACCATGCGCTGCACCATGCGCTGCACCATGCGCTGCTCCCTCGTGTGCACCACCTCCCCCATGCCGCACTTGCTATTCAACCAGCACCTACTTCTTCCCCCCTCACTCCCTCTCTATTTCGTCTTGCCTTCGTACTAGCACCCTTTGGTCTCTTCAAACATCCCAGTTCCCTTACATTCTTCTCTCCTCCCAATCTCCTCTCCATCCGTCCCTCCAATCTCTAATCCCCTGCCATGCGTGTGTGCCATGCGTGTGTGTGGGGCGCCAGGTGCCAGCAGTGCCGTACAAGAACCCCAACAACTATGTCAAGTACTCGGGCAGACTTGCACACGCCATTGCCAAGGTCCTCCCTCGCCTCCTATTTTCTCCCCCGCTCCCTCTTTCCCTTTCCTGCTCCCTCTTTCCCTTTCCTTCTCCCTCTTTCCCTTTCCTGCTCCCTCTTTCTCTCCCTCGCTCCCTCTTGCCCGTTCTTTGCTTGCTCATTCCATGGCTGTAACACCACAGGCCGTGCCGTACACCTGCTCGTCCCTGCACCCCTCACATGCTCTCGTCCTGCCTTTCTTGCTGTTTCCTCTGCTCTGTGTCGCAGACCAATCCGGGGGGTGCCATATGGGGCAACCAGGTGAGTGCTCTTGGGGAGGCACAAGAGGGTTTCTGGCCCACCAGATGAGGTGTTGTATGCTGCCACTGGGTGGGCTGTGCTGCATTCTGCCTGCTGTGCTGCATTCTGCCTGCTGTGCATCATAGCTGCCAGGCTCTCAGTGCTGGGTGGTAGTTGCCACACCCCTCTCCCGTTCTCTCAGTCCGCACTCATCTTAATGTATCCCATTCTCCTTCTTACCTCATCTGTCCCCGCCTATTCGTTCCTGCTCCGTGTTCACTCTCCCTCTCTCCTTGTGCTTCTGCCATGTGCCGCTCTGCAGTTTGACAACACAGCCAACAGGCAGGCGCACTACGAGACAACAGGTCAGCCTGTCCGGAACCGCCGTGCCCCTGTGTGCGGCTCACATGCTCACACACTTCCCTCCTGTGCTGCCTGCCGGTCGCGTGTGCACTGCCGCTCGCGTGTGTGCACCCTTTGCTGTCTGCGGTCACTGCCATCCTGCATGGCCGCCCTCACACCCACCCGTGCACGTGCCTGTGCACCCCCCTGCCCTGCGCGGCTGCAGGCCCTGAGATCTGGGCGCAGACGGAGGGGCGCGTGGACGGCTTCATCTGCGCCATCGGCACGGGGGGCACCCTCGCAGGCACTGGCAAGGTGCGGTGGGGGGGGGGCATGTGCAGATGTGGAAGGGGACGTGGGGCACGGAGTGAGGCAAGAGGGGCAGCGCGGGTGGTGGGGCTTGAAGTGGTGGAGCAGCGTGGAGGTGTGTGGCGGGCAGGCAATGCACCACGTGTCCATGCGCCTTACACTCTTGCCAACTTTTCTTTGCCGTTCCCCCTCCCTTCTTGCTGCCCCGGGTGTGCAGTACCTGAAGGAGCGCAAGGCGGGTGTGCGCGTGGGCATGGTGGACCCCATGGGCGCCGCCATGTTCAGCTACTACACCAACGGCACACTGCAGGCGCAAGGCACCTCCGTGAGAGGGGGTGGGGGGCGAGAGGGATGGGAGTTGGCGGAGGGAGTAGAGTGGGGTGGAGATGGGGGTATGGGGGAGAGTGCAGTAAGGGGGAGTGGGTGGGGTGCGTGCAGTAGAGGCGGTTGAGGGATGGTATTGGTGTTGCATTTGCGATGATGCCTTTCTGGGAGGGTGGAGTGGGCCCTGCTCGATGCCCTCTCAACATGCGCTCATGACTTGCCTCGTGCTTCTCTCTGCATCGTGTTGTGTGCCCCTCAGATATCAGAGGGCATAGGGCAGGGTCGCATCACAGGCAACCTGCAGGGGTGGGGGCTGCCAGAGAGGGAAGGAGGATGCGTTGACTTCTGCTGTCAGGTGCCTGCCTCCGCGTCTCTCTCCCTCCGCACTCGCTTTCTTCCTTGAGCCTCCCGTCCCCACACCCTGCCTGCTCCTCTGCTACTTCGCAACGTGTTCGCCTGCAGCCCACAAACCCCCTCTCCCTCGCAACCTGCGTGCGTGGCGCCCCCCTGTGTGCGTGGGCAGGTGGCGGATGAGGAGGCGCTGCCTGTGATGTACGACCTGCTGCGCCACGAGGGGCTGTGCGTGGGGCTGTCGTCGGGCATCAATGTGGCGGGCGCTGTGCGCCTGGCGCGCGCCATGGGCCCGGGCCACACCATCGTGACGGTGCTGTGCGACCTGGGCACGCGCTACCAGGGCCGCCTCTTCAACCCGCCCTTCCTGCAAGGCAAGGGGCTGCCCCTGCCCACCTGGATGGACGCCAATGCACCGCCTGCTGTGGACGTGCCACAGGTGTTTGAGGAGGCAGAACCATAAGCAGGGGGGCGGGAGGGGGGGGGGGCGATAGGGGGAGATGAAGCAGAGGGGTTTTGGGAAAGGGGATGAGGTGTGGGAGCCGCGAGGAACGAGGAGAGGGTGTAGAATAGGGTAGAAGCGTAGCGGAGGGTGGACATGTGTTGCAAGTGGCACGCGGAGGCATCTGTAGCGGGCAGCGCAATGTGCATGGGCATAGTAGAACTTGTCATAGTAGGTACATTCTCATGATGACCTGCCATGCATCAGTGGGCTCACATCCCTGCCATCATGGCAGTGGCAGCAGGCAGCCAATGGGAGGGTGATATTAAACCCTGCATAGTTGCACAGCAGCATGCAGCAGGTGCTGATGCCAGGCACGAAGAAAAGCACGTGCTTGCTAAACCCTATGACATGCTACAGCAAAAAGCTGTCAGTTGCTGTCCACGGAACTATAAGCGGTTGTGGCTACCTTACAGGCTACTGCGCACCTCCATGAGCATGACACTCGACACATGGCCGATGGCCATCTTACTCAGCACGATGAGCACCCACTGAACTCACATCAAAAGAACACTACACGGGAGCTGAGTTAGCCGCCGAAACACAATGACGGCTGCTCACTAGTGCATACTCGAAGTGTTTCCCCCACCACCGTGCCACCATCTCATGCCGCACCCCCCTGCTTGCCCCTGCCAAGGATCTTGGCGACCCAGCTGCCTGTGTCCCCCACGCGCCGCCCCTCGCTGGACCCCTCCTGTGACCTGCTCAGGTTGATGGCGGACCCCCCTGTGCTGCGCTGCTCCAACACCGGCACCGCCGGCAGCTCGCCCACTGCCGCCTTGCGCTGCGACTGTGCGGCGCTGTCACTGTCGCTGTGGCTGTGCATGCCATCCATCTCCACCGTGGCCCGCGCCTCCACCAGTGCCGCAGCTGCCTCCGCCAGCGCCGTGCTCGCATGGGCCATGCGCCACGTTGCCACGTCCACCTCGTTGTCAGGCTTCACATTGCACGCACACAGCACCTCCCGCGACCACCCGCCCTCCCATGCTATGTCACCCACCACTTCATCATAAGCCGCCGCACCTTCGCCATGCACACCATTGAGTGCCCTCCTCTCTTCACTCACTGCCTGCGATCCATCCACCCAACCACGACCAGCAGCAGCAGCAGCAGCAGCAGCAGGGGTAGCAGCAGCGGTGATTGCGGCGTGGTAGCCCTTCTTGGCGGCCTGCAGCGCTTTCACCACTTCCACCATTTCAGGGCGCCTGGTGGCTGGCTGCTGCACGCAATGCGCTGCAATCTGAGCCATGGCAAGGAGCGGGGGCAGGTTGAGTGGCGTGGCAATGCGCGTGTCCACGATGAGGTGGATGTGGCGCGACGCCACAAACGGCAGCACCACCGTGGTTATGTGCACCAGGCGATCCTTGTCGTCTGGATCCCTCTCCATCGCCTCCCTCCCCGTCACCAGCTCCAGCAGCAGCACCCCAAAGCTGAACCACAGGCACACACCCAATGGCACAATGTGCAAGGGGGCGGGAGAAAGGTGGGAATGTTAAGTTATAGAATTGAAATGAGATAACACCAGGAATCAGTGAGAATGCAGTAGAGCGAGCGTACCAGTGCTAGTCAGCAAAATAACATGAGGACCATTCAGGCGAAGGAGGCACGGATGCAAGTAGCAGAGAGCGTGGAGGCATGAGGGAGGGGGTACCTGTAGACATCACTGCGAGTGGTGAGCATTTCGAGCGTCATGTAGTCGGGATCCATGTAGCCGCGTGTGCCGGCCACCTTGGTGAATGTGCCCATCTCCTCCTTCCCCACCTCCCTTAGCAACCCAAAGTCCGCAATCTTCACCTGCACACCCACACACACCCACACACGGCCACACACGGCCACACACGCCCACACATGGCCACACACGGCCACACATGGCCACACATGGCCACACACATCCATGCGCGGGCAGCACACAAGGTGTCAGAGGGTGGTATGCAGGGGGAGTGGGAGAGGAGATGGGATGTCCCGTGTGGAGATTCGAAACCGCTCGTCTCGTGGATGAGTGGGTGGCCTTGGGTGGCACGGCCACCCTCTTGGTCACCACCAGGCAACCCCACTTGCCAACACACACTCTTGTGCACTATAGTGGGCGGCACCTAGTAGTGGAGTGCTAGGCACCTGGTAGTGGAGTGCTAGGCACCTGGTAGTGGAGTGCTAGGCACCTGGTAGTCGAGTGTGAGCAGCACGTTGGAGGGCTTGATGTCGCGGTGCACGGTGGGGCGCTCCGTGTGGTTGTGCAGGTACACCAGCCCCTCCGCCAGCCCTATTGCCGCCTCCAACCGCTGCTCAAACGTCAGCAGCTGCCCTGCTCTCGCCAGCCCACACAGACGCAACCAACACACCATATGGGAGGCATGGCCACACAGCAGGCATAGCCGGCCTCACAAGGCGAGAACCTACACACAACATGAGAAATGCAAGAAACTCAATTGAACGAGCAGGACATGGCGCATGGGGAGGATGAGGCACAAGAGGGTGGCAGTGGCAACCTTTGATGGTGCCGTATAGGTGGTCGCTGAGCGGGCCGTTGGGCACGTACTCGTACACCAGCACCTGTTCCAGGTTGTCGTTGCAGTACCCCAGCAGACGCACCAGGTTCTTGTGGTGGAAGCGCGACACCGCCTTCACCTGCCACCATGCCACACACACACATGCAATGCCGCATGCCAGGGCACACGCCAGGGCACATGCGAGGGGACATGCGAGGGGACATGCGAGGGGACATGCAAGGGGACATGCAAGGGGACATGCGAGGGGACATGCAAGGGGACACGCAATGCAAGGGGACATGCGAGGGGACATGAGAGGGGACATGCGAGGGGACATGCGAGGGGACATGCGAGGGGACACGCACGGGGGCACTGAGCATGTGAAGGCCGGAAGCATTTCCAGGGAGCAAGCGTGTGGAGATGGAAGGCGTTGTGAGTTGAGATCGGCGAGGAGTGCATGTGCGCGTGTGGAGGCCGGCTGACCTCCTCCTCGAACATGGTCGCAATCTTGGATGACCGCTCCACAAACGCCGCATGCTTGATGGCCAGCAGGTGGTCCGGCGAGTCCCCCTGCCCCAGGTACACCGTGCCAAATCCCCCCCTGCCCAGCTTCCTGGCGGCACTGAAGCTGTCCGTGGCGTCCATGATCTCCCGCCACGTGTACTTGCGGAACCCGCGGTCCAACTCGCGCTCCCACGCTGCCACCCCACACACACCCACAAGGGCACGCACTAAAGAACATGGGGACACAGGGCTGGGCTGGCAAGCCAACCACGGTTGAGTGCCTGTGCAGAATAGAGAAAGTGGCGAAGGTGAGGGGGACGGGAGGGTGAGGGCACAGCACTGACCTTGTATGCGTCCTGGGCCCCATTTGTAGTACCAGAAGTAGAGGGCGAGAGCCAGCACGGCCAGCAGCGCCACACTGCACCCCACAGCAATGCCAGCCACAGCTGCAGGCGCCATGCCTAAGAGGGGCGGAGTTTCAGGGCCAGGGGCAAAACGAGGCAGAGAGCACGGGAAAAAGATAGGGGTTGAGACAAACTCAAGTGAGTGCATGGAGAACGAACGAGACAGCAGCAGGAGGAATAAGTGAATGCAACCTGGGGCACAGGCGGAGCAGTATTGGGGGCAGAAGTTGACGCAGAAGGGCAGGTCCTGGATGGGGCTGCCAGTGGGGCAGCAGGAGTCGGACGACGGGCATGCGAACTGAAGGCGCGACGCCGCACTGGCAGGGGCACACAGAGAGGGCATGGCAGGGCACGGTGGCAGTGGGAGGCGTGCAGGGGGTGGGGGGGAGAGGAGGGGAGGCAGGCCGAGGCGGAGAGCACAAGGAAGGGGCGAAGGCAAGAAGCAGTGCATGAGCAAGGGCTCTGGTGAAACGAACTGAGTTGCAGACAAGGGTAGTGGCACCAAGGGGAAGGAGGGTGGTGAGGAAAGAGGTGTGAGGTGAGCAGTGGGTGCAGGTGAGTGAGGGGCGCACATGGTACCAAGGGAGATGATGTTGGCCCAACACGCAGGAAGAGTGCCGCTGAGCTTAGGGTTGCTGATAAGGGAGCTGCAATGCAGCAGGGGAGGTGGGGAGGGCGCAGGGCAAGACAAGGCATGCACACAGTTGGGTGCACAGTGACGTCATGGCGGGCAGCACGCGGGGTGGGATTGCAGGGGGAGTGTTCAGGCACGTGTGAGGCATGCATGTGGGCATGGAGCACGCGTGGTTGCGTGGCGCACTGACATCTCGAGGAGGTTGGTGAGGTTTCCCAGTGACTCTGGCAGAGGCCCAGAGAAGTCGTTGATGCGGAAGTGGCTGAGGGGAGGGCGCACACCCACAGCAGCAACACACAAGAGCAACACACGAGCACCACACGAGAGCGTGAAGGCCGAGCAGCAAAACAAAGCATGGGGACACGAACACTCGTTTGATTAGACCAGCTCAAACGAAATGTAGGGCCAACCACAGCCTCACAACTGCCTGTCCCCCCTCCCATCTCCCCCTTCTTTTCTTCCCCGCCCGCCCGCCTGTCGTTTCCCCCTCCCCAATGCGTCTCTCCTCTTTCCCGTCTTCCCCAACCCCCCTCCCCCTTGCGGTGCGAGTGGCAGGCGGGGAAGCACGCACAGGTACTGCAGGCGCGTGATGAGCCCCAGCCACTCGGGCAGCGGGCCGCTCAGCTCCATGTCGCGCAGGTCACTGCGCGCAGGGGGGGAGGGGGCGAGGAGGTGACGGATATGAGCACAGAGAAGCATGTGAGGAGAGGCAGTGAGCACGGTGCATCGCACAGGAGTTGTGCATACGAGGCTGATGTGCGGACTGATTCAAAGGTCCGCCCACAAGAGGTCCGCACCCATGAGACCAGGGTAGCATACAGGTGCGCGAGGCTGCATACAGGTGCGTGAAGCTGCATACAGGTGCGTGAGGTTGCGCAGCTGGCTATAGCTGTTGGGCAGAGTACCGCTGAGCCGGTTGGAGTAGATCTTCCTGATGCCGCCACATGTGGTGCGAGGGAGCGGTCGGAACAGAGGAAAGGTGAAGCTAAGAGCATAAATCAGCAGAATGAAGGTACAGCAGAGTGAGGGCTAGAGTGGGTTGAGGGTAGGGCAAAATGGGGTAGAGTGGAATGATGGTAGAGCAGAGCAGTATGAGGGTAGAGCGTATGAAGAACATGCAGGTTGCTGGGATGCTCCCCACAGCAGCATGTGCATGATTCAATTAAAGCACTCTGCCTCCTTCACTGCATGCAAATGTGGGTAGATGTGAGAATGGTGCATCACGGTTGATGCTCAATGCATGGTTGTAAGGACGCATGGGTGCACAGGTGCAATGTCGCATGGGTGCATGGATACATGAAGAAGTGGGTGCACGGGTGCACGGGTGCATGGGTTACAGGAATGCAAGTTGAGTCATGTTGCCAATGAAGGCAGGGATGGGCCCCGTGAATGAGTTGTTGCTGGCATAGCTGGCAGGGCGAGGGGGCGAAGAGCTTGTCCAACACAGTGAGTGAGGGAGTGTGAGAGAGTGAGAAATCACGGTTTGTGAGTTCTCGAGAGGAGACAAGGAGCACGCAGTGGCAGAGGCAGTATACACACGTGACTAGATCAAGGCACTGATGACAGCACTCAGCACGGCACGGCCTGTGAGGGGGTCTGCTGGCCTTGTGAGTCACAACAAGACAACAATAGCTGTGATAGTCACGTGGAGGGCGCGTGGGTGGAGGGTGCATGGGCAGAGGGCGCGCGTGGGCGGAGGGTGCGTGGGCGGAGGGTGCGTGGGCGGTCACATCATGGTGAGGTTGGAGAGGGCCGTGATGGCGGAAGGGAAGGACCCCGAGAAGCCGTTCTTGTGGACCTGCCTGCAGGGGGAGCAGGGGGGACGGGGAGAGAAGGGATGCGGGACGAGGTGCATGAGGTACGTGTGCATGCAAGGCTGGTGGTGTGACGCATACAAGGCCTCAAACAGCCAATGTGGGTGCCTGCGGTGAGAGTGTGTTTGGAGGTGAACGGACGGATGCAAGAGTGTGGAGGTGCATATGCAGCAGCAGCGGGGGTTAGAGAAAGGGTGGGAGGTAGCTGGCGTACAGCTCATTGAGGGCGGAGAGACCACCGAGAGTGGCAGGCAGGGGGCCGCTCAACTTGTTGCTGCTCACCTGACTGCAGCCGGGGGAGGGGGAGGGAGAAGCATGTGGAAGGCATGAGATACGTGGTGGGTGACGGTGGCAGCACAAGGCACATGGAGGCAGGCAGGATTGGAGTAAGGCGCAATTGAAGCAGTGACGAGTGTGGTGACGATGGCAGGATGCGGCTGACAGTGTGCGGAGGTTGGTGAGAGCGCTGACTTGCACAGGCAAGGGGCCCGAGAAATTGTTGCCGTCCATGTAGCTGCGAGCACGGGAGGGGGCCGAGGGGAGAGTGAGTAGGGACGAGGATACAGAGAGAACGAGAGATAGATAGCAATGCAGAAGGAAGAAGAGGAGGAAAGGGGGGAGAGCGAAGTGAACCAGGAGAAAAAATGAGGAGTGGTGTTTTGTGAAAATCAATACGCGGATGTAGGAGAAGAGGGAGAGGAGAGGAGGAGGAGGAGGAGGAGGAGGAGGAGGAGGAGGAGAGGGAGGAGGAGGAGGAGAATTTATGGAGTGGTATTGCAATTGGGGAGGGAGACAGTAAGGCCGAGAGATTGGTAAGGATGTTACAGGTTGCGAAGGCTGGTGAGAGAGAAGAGGGAGGCAGGCAAGGACCCAGAGAATAAATTGCGCTGAATATCTCTGTACACAGGGATGCACGCACACAGGGGTGCACACATACAGGGGTGCACGCATACAGGGGTGCACGCATACAGGGGTGCACGCAAGCGGCACACAGGCACGCATGCACACAGGGATGCATGCAGCACATACACACATCCATGACCACTCGCATGCACACAGACGAGGATGAATGCCAGCAAGAGAGGGGGGGAGAAAGAGAGAGAGAGAGAATAGCCGGGGATAGCCGGGGAATAGCCGGGGTCTAGGAGCTAGACCAGGAATACCATGCATGCTTGTACCCACCTTATATGCTTCGCCTGTACCCAGGATCTCCCAGTAATGAAGGACCGTGAGAGAGAGAGAGAGAGAGAGAGAGAGAGAGAGAGAGAGAGAGAGAGAGAGAGAGAGAGAGAGAGAGAGAGAGAGAGAGAGAGAGAGAGAGAGAGAGATTTAGAAGAAGAGGAAGAAGCATGTCTCAATGTGCATGCATGCGTGCGCACGCGCGCGCGCGCGCGCGTGTGTGTATGCGTGTGTGTGTGTGTGTGTGTGTGTGTGTGTGTGTGTGTGTGTGTGTGCACGCGCGCGCGTGTGTGTGTGCATGGGTGTGTGTGTGTGCATGGGAGTATGTGTGTGTGTGCATGGGAGTATGTGCGTGTATGCATGGGAGTATGTGTGTGTGTGCATGGGAATATGTGTGGGTGTGCATGGGAGTGTGTGTGTGTGTGCATGGGAGTGTGTGTGTGTGTGTGTGTGTGCATGGGAGTGTGTGTGTGTGCATGGGAGTGTGTGTGTGTGTGTGCATGGGAGTGTGTGTGTGTGTGTGCATGGGAGTGTGTGCGTGTGTGTGCATGGGAGTGTGTGTGTGTGTGTGTGTGTGCGTGCATGGGAGTGTGTGTGTGTGTGTGCGCATGGGAGTGTGTGTGTGTGTGTGTGCATGGGAGTGTGTGTGTGTGCATGGGAGTATGTGTGTGTGTGCATGGGAGTATGTGTGTGTGTGCATGGGAGTATGTGTGTGTGTGCATGGGAGTGTGTGTGTGTGTGCATGGGAGTGTGTGTGTGTGTGTGCATGGGAGTGTGTGTGTGTGTGCATGGGAGTGTGTGTGTGTGTGTGTGCATGGGAGTGTGTGCGTGTGTGTGCATGGGAGTGTGTGTGTGTGTGTGTGTGTGCATGCATGGGAGTGTGTGTGTGTGTGTGCGCATGGGAGTGTGTGTGTGTGTGTGTGTGCATGGGAGTGTGTGTGTGTGTGCATGGGAGTGTGTGTGTGTGTGCATGGGAGTGTGTGTGTGTGTGTGTGTGTGTGTGTGTGTGCATGGGAGTATGTGTGTGGGCACGGCACTGACAGTCGGAGCAGGCTGGTGAGGCCCGAAAGAGCATCGGGCAGATCCGCTGTGAACTTGTTGCTGCTTAGCACCCTGCCACCACAGGCGGCACAGCACAGCACAACGGCAGGGCGCAGGGGGGTGATGGGCAGTGCTGGAGGTGCGGAGAGTGCTGCAGCAAGGGAGGAGGTTGCGTGGAAGGAAGATGAAGTGCAAGAGCGGCGGTGTGTGGGTGTAGAGCATTCGATGAGGTAGGGGTGAGAGTAGCAATGTGTGGATGTACAGCGTTTGCAGTCTGGCGAGGTTGCTGATGCTCTGAGGAATGGTGCCGTTGAGCTTGTTGTAGCTCAGGTCCCTGCAACATGCACCGTGCCAGCAATGCACCATGCACCACGCAAGCAACGCATGCCATGGCCACGAGCAGCAGCCGTGTGAGGCATGCAGAGGTGGGAACGTAGGCACGAGGGCACGGCTATGGGGCTGCTAAGGAAGCAGATGCAGCAGCCATGGGGGCAAGAGCGGGCATGAATCCAGGCAGTCGGCCATTCATGCTGCTGAGGAAGCTGTGAGCGTTTTGGGATGTGAGTGGAAAGTGGTGCAGTGCGGTGGTTGGTGTGTGTTGAGGCAGCTAGTGCGCACTGACAGGAGAGTGAGCGCTGTGAGGAGGCCTATCTCCACAGGCAGATTCCCCGATAGCTCTGCCTTGCTCAGTGTCCTGCACACCATCACACGCACCAACACCAACACAGCACAGCAGCATGGCAAGCGCGCGCAATGAAACGCGCCCGAGCGTCACATTGACACACACGGACAGAAGACGTCAAGTTTTTTGCACCTCACCCACCGTTGCGGGTACCCCTAAATCATGGTTGCATACCGGAATCATGGTTGCATACCGGAATCATGGTTGCATACCGGAATCATGGTTGCATACCGGAATCATGCAGTCCGTGCGAGGGGATGGGGGTCACACTGCCGCCTGTCGCTCGCCAAGGACAGCAGCGCGCGGGGAAGTTGGGGGCACGGATGAACGCAGGAAAGGAAGGCGGAGTGCGGGAGAGAAGGGGGGGGGGGGGCAGAGGGGGGACGCGGGCTTACAAGGCGGTGACGGACGCGTCTTGGCACGTGACGCCTGCGGCCCCTCCTGTGGCGGCGCATACGTCGTCCACCTGCCACGACGCCAGCGCGTCAGCCGCGCCCCACTGTGCCGCCATGCTCACCAGCGCTGCCACCCAACATGCACGCACGGCCCATGGAGGGGGTGGGGAGCAACAAGCGCAATGGGCGGGGCGTTGCGAGGGCGCACGAGCAGCCGCGCATGACGGCACACGCTTTCGCCCTCCACCGCGCAAACACCGTGCCACTCTCCCTTGCGCTGCGCACCTACCTTGCGTCTCGTTTGTGACGGCGCCAGAGCATGGGACCATAAGGCTGGCGGCCGCAGCCAGTGCGAGCGCCAACGCCCGCACCGTCGTGCTGCCGCACCACCACGCGCCCCCCCCCAGAGCCATGCATAGAGCGTGCGGCACTAAATTAGATATGAGTGTTTCCAGCGAGTCGATGAGGCGTGCTTATGAAGGTGGGGATTGAAGCTCGGTCTTGTTTCAACATGTTACAGTAACGAAGAACAACGTGGCCTCTGCCACTCAAGGTTTGGATAGAGTTGATAGCCACTCGAACCAGGCAAGACCGGACAGATCGTGTTTCGTCCACCTAGCACGCGAAGGGTTTGAAGGTGTGGTGCTTTTGGAAGAAAACAAGAATTCTGAACCTCGGGTTCGAAATTATTGATGGGTGGAAGGTGGTCTAGTCGTAATCAGAACGTTTCCACGCGGTATAGCGTGGTAATCTTGCTCGTTTAAGTGTCGAACCTTCTGCAGTCAGCCCCATGTGGCAACTGATTGCGTCGACAAGTGTGAGTGCTGACCTGGCGCAATTTCTACGAACGTGTTCAGGCCAGGGCTATTTTGTCGTTATACGAGACCCGGAAGGCACAGGATTAGTGTTATGAATTATACCTGAGAGTGTAGCGCAGAATACTCTAGGGGAAAGTGATTACAGAGTTATGATATGAATGAGGCCTAGGCAATATATAGGGCGATTGACCAGGGTTGAATGTCGAGGGTTGGATCAGTCAAGGGCTCAAAAGTCCCGAGGGTGATGGGGTAAAATGGGTTCGGGGCGATTCGGGATGAGGTTGGGGCCGAATAGGTTGGCGGGGGCTGGTTTGGCGCGAGAACCAAGGGTCGAGCCTGCGGACCCGAGAGGTTCGCCTGTACTCGATGTGGCAAGCCCCAGAAAGGAATGGTAATTCCTTACACTCTCCCACCTTCTAAAAGAAGGCACTCCCTTTATAGATGTTGAACATTTTATCTAATTTAATCCTCGAAGTGACTGTAAGACTTCAGCCCTGTGACGAGCGTAATATCAGAAATTGAAGAAGTGAATAATGTTAGAGAGAGGGTACACACAGATATACCTAAGTGTTGTACCCTCTAAGAGGCTACCCTATACAGTCTATACAAACATGACAAATACACATGTTTGACACACCCCCTAGACTGCATAGGAGAATGTCCTAAACAAGCAGCTCAGGGCGGCACTACTAGTCCAACCTCTGAGACAAGGGTCTGAGAGACCAGTCAGAAGGAGTACAGACAAGGCAAGAACAAGAGCAGGGCGGCACTACTAGTCCAGCCACTGGGAGAGGACACAAGTCCAGTCTGAGGATACATATAAGGGACAGTACAAAGTCAAGGTCATAGCAAGTGAGAGGCTACAGGAACTAGACCAAGCTGTACACAGTGCCGCTGATGATCTTTAGGCGCAAGCGCCTTCGTAAAGATATCAGCCGTGTTGGCACCTGAGGCCAAGTGTACTACGCGAGCCTGACGTCGCTGCTGTAGCTCACGCAGGAGGAAGTACCGCAGCTGAATGTGCTTTGCTCTGCCCTCGAGTCGAGGCTCCTGACACAGGAGGATCATGGCCCTGTTGTCAGCGAACAGGACCGGGGCAGAGCTAGGCCGCTCACCTAAGTCGGTGAGCAAGAAGGTCAGCCAGCGGAGCTCCTGTGCCGCCATGGCACCAGCGTAGATCTCAGCCTCACAGCTGGACTGCGCAACAGACGAGGAGCGGGTAGCTCTCCACGAGACGGCACCTGAGCCAAGGCTGAAGCAGTAGCCCTGGGTAGACCTGAGTGTCTCAGCGTCGTCTGCCCACGAAGCGTCTGTGTGTCCAGTAAGGACCACTGGCCTGCGTCCTCCTAGCACTAACCCCATGCCCGATGTACTAGCAAGATAACGCAGAACCCTCTTAGCGGCAGACCAGTGCTGCGGTCGGTGTCTGCCTGTGGCCACAAAACGAGCCAAGATGCTGAGAGGGTATGCGAGATCTGGGCGAGTGCAAGTCATCAGGTACATGAGGCAACCCACCAGCTCTGCGTAGGGGCCGCTGGGCTCTACCAACTCCTCAGACACTGGAGCGGAGAGCCTGTGGTCTACAGGCAGAGGGGTGGGCTGTGCAGAAGAGAACTGAAGGCTGAACCTCTGAAGGACCTGGCGCACCAAGTATGACTGAGTCAGGGTGATGGTGCGCGCAGCTCTGTCCCTGGAGATATGCAAGCCAAGGTAACGGCGCAGTTTTCCAAGGTCAGTGCAGGTGTGTCTCTTCAGCAGCTCTGCCTTCACGGAGGCCAGTGCGTCCCTGTCTGCTGTGGCAAAGACCAGGTCGTCGACGTAAACAAGGATGTAGAACGGAGTCTGGCCAGCACGAATAACGAGGGAAGGGTCTGCGGAAGACGGAAAGAACTGGAGGTCAGCAAGCGTAGCACGGAGAGTGTCGTGCCGCTCACGGGGAGCCTGGCGCAGGCCGTAGACGGGGCGCCGCAGGAGCCACTGGGTCTTAGGGTTTAGGGTTTAGGGTTTAGGATTTAGGGTTCAGGGTTCTGGGTTCAGGGTTCTGGGTTCAGGGTTCTGGGTTCAGGGTTCTGGGTTCAGGGTTCTGGGTTCAGGGTTCTGGGTTCAGGGTTCTGGGTTCAGGGTTCTGGGTTCAGGGTTCTGGGTTCAGGGTTCTGGGTTCAGGGTTCTGGGTTCAGGGTTCTGGGTTCAGGGTTCTGGGTTCAGGGTTCTGGGTTCAGGGTTCAGGGTTCAGGGTTCAGGGTTCAGGGTTTAGGGTTTAGGGTTTAGGGTTTAGGGTTTAGGGTTTAGGGTTTAGGGTTTAGGGTTTAGGGTTTAGGGTTTAGGGTTTAGGGTTTAGGGTTTTAGGGTTTAGGGTTTTAGGGTTTAGGGTTTAGGGTTTAGGGTTTAGGGTTTAGGGTTTAGGGTTTAGGGTTTAGGGTTTAGGGTTTAGGGTTTAGGGTGGAGGGTTTAGGGTTTAGGGTTTAGGGTTTAGGGTTTAGGGTTTAGGGTTTAGGGTTTAGGGTTTAGGGTTTAGGGTTTAGGGTTTAGGGTTTAGGGTTTAGGGTTTAGGGTTTAGGGTTTAGGGTTTAGGGTTTAGGGTTTAGGGTTTAGGGTTTAGGGTTTAGGGTTTAGGGTTTAGGGTTTAGGGTTTAGGGTTTAGGGTTTAGGGTTTAGGGTTTTAGGGTTTAGGGTTTAGGGTTTAGGGTTTAGGGTTTAGGGTTTAGGGTTTAGGGTTTAGGGTTTAGGTTGGTTTAGGGTTTAGTTTAGGGTTTAGGTTTGTTTAGGGTTTAGGGTTTAGGGTTTAGGGTTTAGGGTTTAGGGTTTAGGGTTTAGGGTTTAGGGTTTAGGGTTTAGGTTTAGGGTTTAGGGTTTTAGGGTTTAGGGTTTAGGGTTTAGGGTTTAGGGTTTAGGGTTTAGGGTTTAGGGTTTAGTAGGGTTTAGGGTTTAGGGTTTAGGGTTTAGGGTTTTAGGGTTTAGGGTTTAGGGTTTAGGGTTTAGGGTTTAGGGTTTTAGGGTTTAGGGTTTGGTTTAGGGTTTAGGGTTTAGGGTTTTAGGGTTTAGGGTTTAGGGTTTAGGGTTTAGGGTTTAGGGTTTAGGGTTTAGGGTTTAGGGTTTAGGGTTTAGGGTTTAGGGTTTTAGGGTTTAGGGTTTAGGGTTTTAGGGTTTAGGGTTTAGGGTTTAGGGTTTAGGGTTTAGGGTTTTAGGGTTTAGGGTTTAGGGTTTAGGGTTTAGGGGGTTTTAGGGTTTAGGGTTTAGGGTTTAGGGTTTAGGGTTTAGGGTTTTAGGGTTTAGGGTTTAGGGTTTAGGGTTTAGGGTTTAGGGTTTAGGGTTTAGGGTTTAGGGGGTTTAGGGTTTAGGGTTTAGGGTTTAGGGTTTAGGGTTTTAGGGTTTATAGGGTTTAGGGTTTAGGGTTTAGGGTTTAGGGTTTAGGGTTTAGGGTTTAGGGTTTAGGGTTTAGGGTTTAGGGTTTAGGGTTTAGGGTTTAGGGTTTAGGGTTTAGGGTTTAGGGTTTAGGGTTTAGGGTTTTAGGGTTTAGGGTTTAGGGGTTTAGGGTTTAGGGTTTAGGGTTTAGGGTTTAGGGTTTAGGGTTTAGGGTTTAGGGTTTTAGGGTTTAGGGTTTAGGGTTTAGGGTTTAGGGTTTAG